CTATTGTATCGTTAAAAATTATTTTTTTATTTTGTACAAACAAAATAAATATATTGAAAAATATAAAAATAATAAAAAATTATACTTCAGATGTTAATTTAGTATCAAAAACGTAAAATATTTGAGTAGCCCAAGACACAGCCAAAAATTGAAGCACCACAGCACTGGCGAAAATTTAAATTTGACGACTGGAATTCTTTCGGATGATTGACTTTCGGAAAATCGACGCTCTACTGTATATATATAATAGCATCAATTTGTATGTATATAATATATATATTGTAATTAATCCAAGTAAAGATATTATCTGTAATTACTTGTTTGTTTTTCATCATATTGTTGGCATTGTTCTCTAAGTTTAATTTATCTGATAAATTATTTTAAATTTTCTTTTTATGATTATTTTTAAATTGAAAAATTTAATGCTAAAATTATAAAATTTCTTAAATTTGTAGGTGGTCCTCTGGATTTATCTATAAAAAATTCTGAAAAAAATTTATCTAAATCTTGTGAAGCACTGACATCTGAAAAAAGTTTGACTGTGCATGATTCAGTTGCTTCTGATACACAAATGTGTCCCTTCATAAAGTCTTCCACTTGTCAAAAAAGAACATCAGTTTCTACATCCATTAAAGATTCGTTATCTTTAAATGATATGTCTCAAACTAATATGCCCTTGGATGGCTGGAGTGTTCAGGTTTCACATGGATTACCATATGTTAAGGGTGAGACAGTTAAAAAAGATTGTCATAGCTCACAGTTATTGAGTAAAGGTTATCCTTTAAGTTGTGAGTATTCGCGATATGGTATGACTGTTACATATGCTCCAACTGTTTTTCCACCTGTGTATAATTGTAAAAAAGATCCCACTAACAAAGGTAAAAACTATTTTTGTATTTTTCATATTAATTTTAATTTGTCACTCCTTGGTTTACATTAAAACTTAAAATCATTCTCCTGTAAGTTTTTTTTGTATCATACTTAAAAATACTGTCTTGGTATGATAACTCCATTGTACCAGAGTATATGCAATATATCTGGTCTTTTTGTATTAATTTATTATGACGTTATTTAATTATCTGCTTAATATTATATTTATTATTAGAATTTTTTTATACCAGAAAAAAAAAGATAATTAAAAAATTTGTCTATGATATCCTGTTTATTATTTATCTCTGACAGTAAACAGTTTTAACATATGATCTGGTGATTTGCCCTAAATTTTACTGTAAATCAGGGAGTTTCTACATTTGTTAATATAATATGAGTTTTTTTTATTAAGATGAGATATAAGAATATGATATATGACAAAGATTAATTTTTAAATTACTGGTTATTTCTTTCAATAAAATACTAAAATACATTAATTACCTTATTCAAAATACTTATTAAAATGCTGTAAACTAAGAAATTGTGTATAGATTATTTTTATATCAATTATTTTAAAATATTTTAGAAAAATAGTACTTTTATTTGCACTCAGATTGTACTCCAGAAAAAAACAAAATTCTTTAGTAGAGAGAGTAGATACTAACTACTTTACAAAAAGTTCTGAAATGGAATGATTGAGTGCACCTTCTATTTGAATAGTCTTTAAAAGGTTAGTGTGATCTCTTATTAGATGATGATTTAGTCAATGAAATCTGCTTTGTGGTAATATTAAATCTACTATTAAAATTTTATAACTTGTAAGTAAATAAAATCCATACAGGCAGTGAAAATCCAGAAGAATTTGTATGGCAACATATCAGATATTAGTTTTTTGTGCAGATATAAAGCATTTTTAACTTTTGGAGAATAAATATTCAAATTTAGAGATCAGAATAACAACTTACTGTTACAATCTTTCTTTTTAATACTTTTCTTGTCATTCAGTCATTTGTCTCTTAAGATTTATTTTAGTATTGTCGTCTTACTTGAAGATTACTTAATGATATGTAAGAAATAAGTTTCAGATTTAAGTGAGAAAAATCAAGAAAAGAAACAAATAATGATTATTTTCAATCATCCCTGATTTCAGTGCACTAAAGACACTGTTTAAAAATCCAGCAGTGGGTTTAACTTTTCTAGCAAAAAAATTTAAAATTGATGGTTCCATCTGTTATATTTTATTTAAAAAAACTTCATATTTTTAACTATTATAAAATGGCAAAAAGCTTAATTTTGAGGGTAAGATGATAATGGTGAAGCGCCATTTCTCGATGTTTCAGTCTCTAGTCCAAAAATGTAAAATCGGGAGGGGGTCATTTTTTGACCGCTCGCCATACTTTTCCTCTGTTATATATAACAGTCGGGAAGGTAAAAATGATTTTAATTGTCCCTCATTTGGTAATTTTGCAGGGATATTTAAGTGCCGAAAACTTCATCATGATGATACCACAAGGTGATTAATTAATGAATGTTACAAAGTTATCTTGTATTTATCAGAATCGTGCAGTAAATGTACCATTTCGCATTGCATACGACATGACTATACGATTTCAAACGACTTTTTATACATTTACTGGAAAGTAGTAGAAGGCCCAACCTTACAGCATAGCCTTTGAAAAGGAAGGACGAAGAGTTATAGAGGAAATGAGGAGGAAGATAAGACTAATAGGAAAGTGTAAAACATGAGACCTCAGAGTGCTCAGCCGGTTCCATTAATTGAAATTAACAAATGTACAAAACTTGGGGCAAAGCCCATAAGCAAATAGTGAATATAAGGAAATTCCAGAAAGGCATGGACGCCCAAGAGGCTGCCTCTGGTGAGGCAGTTGCGGCGATATACAAATCCTCATCATATATCGGGTGACAGTTCCGTAATTAGCCATTCCTGTGTACTGTGCAAGAGTTTGCATTTAGGCTCTTAATTAATTAATTTTGGTTTGGGAATTCATGCATTTTGAGCCCCTTTCGAAGTGGCCCATGTGGTATTTTAAAACTTGCCATTGTGACACTTTTGGTGCTGTGAGCAACGAAAAATGCTTTATCGAGGACGTAAATTTTGCAGTCTTGAAAGACTAAATTAAAATAACTTGGGCCTTTTGTTGAAAACTTGTATTTTTCAGGGAGGTTTGTCTATTAGGGGGTATCAATGCTATTAAACTTCGATGTTTAAAAGGTCGGGAATGGGAATATAGAGGGGGTAGGGTCCGTGTCAGATCTCCGATGGAGCATTTTACTCCAAAATCTCGTAACGGATGGCGCCACATACAATTTTAACTTTTTTTCCCCCCGGGAAAGTTACTCAACTGATTGCTGGATTTATTATTATTATTTTTTGCTTAAATATTTTCCGCATTTCCCGAAATGTCACCATACAAATTTGGTTGCATAGGACTCTGGACAGTGTTAAATAAGAGGTATCAGTCGACCCCCCTACAACACTGTTGATTATTCCGTTTTATACGAATTCCATGTTGTACGAGTCATTTCGATTTTACAAATACACGAGCTGTTCACAGCCCGGCACACGTATTTGTAAAATTTAAGTAACTCGTACAACATGGAATTCGTATAAAACGGAATAATCAACAGTGTTATAGGGGGGTCGACTATCTTGGCACATGTATTTGTAAAATTGAAATAACTTGTACAACATGGAATTCGTATAAAACGGAATAATCAACAGTGTTATAGGGGGGTCGACTTGTACTTTAAATCGTGATAACCTTGAATAATTCTTGTTTCAGGTGCTTCAGTTTAGCTTCACAAACAAGAAGTATAGTTTTTTACGCTATTCAAAGTTAAAAAAAAATTGTTTAGGATGATGACGTCGATTTTTGAGGCTCGTAAAACAATAAAAAGGCATTAGATTTACTTACTATTTTGCAGAATCGATAAGATTAAACTCGTTAGATCGTGAGTAACATTCTTGAATTCCTAAATCTCTCCACAATAGTTCCGTGTGATCGAAGAATTCCTAAATAATAGAACGTATTTTAAGTTATATTTATTTTAATTCTAGTAAAATTAGAAAAATTACCTGAGGGAAATCATATTCTTCCACCATATTTAAGCTTTGTATATAACCCAGGCTGTCTTGCAAATCGGGATTATTCAGATCGATGGGTGGTTTTATATAAGCCATGTTCCCTGTTAATTCCTTGAAGAAAAGTGATTTTATTTTTTATTTTTAAAGGATAAAAACTAAAAGAATGTTTCAAATTTTACTTTTTTTTTGGTAAATTAATTTACAAAGTATCATGGAAGCAATTATGCAATTGAGGCACATGGCATAATGTTTTCAAAGAAGAGAGGAAACACGTGAAAAATTTTACAGAATTCATAAAATTCTTTTCGTAAAAAGGCATAAACTTTAAATTATAGAGAAATAATTAATATTACAAGTAAAGTTTTATAAATTTCATACTAGTAAGCATGAAGAAGCTTCAACATGCCTTATGATTTGATCAGGTTTGATGGTAAATGCGAACTAAACACACGAACAATGTAATTAGAAACTTTAGAGCGATATTAAGCAGATTTTCTCTCTAAAAGTTAAATTTAATTGTTTTAAATAGTATATTAATTTAAAATTTCGAACGAAAAGTCAGCCATTTTGATAATCCTCATTTAATTAAGTCTTATACAATATGATAAAATTTAATTACTTTAATAGCTTCTAATATATTTCTTCTGATGTCTTTAATCTTCTCCTGCCTTTCGCTGAAAAAATATATAAAATAAATGAATGAAAAAGGCATAAAATATGAGGCTTATTACTAAAATAAAGATAACCTGTCTGAAAATCCTTGAATGTGAATGATTTTCATTTGTTTAATGATGGTGGTTTTACCTGATTCTCCAGCTCCTGGAAAAAACGTTTTAGTGAAATATATATAATTATTATGAACAGTCAGTAACTGATTACTTACCTAGTAGTAATATTTTAATAGTCCTGCAATATTCCTTCATCCAAGCTGCAATCTTCTTATCTATTAATTTACTAGTTCTTCTCGCCGGATCACTGGGTTTGCAGCATTCCATCTTTCAACATGAATTTATCTTAATGAACATTAAACGGCCGAAATTTATTATTAAATTTTAATGTTACCACTGTTTATTTTACTTATTATAAAGCATGAAGCAGCTGGTGACTGTAGAATACCCCTGTCCCGTAAGGAAAGTAAAGAAAATGCTATTGGAATGGAATTTTCTAAGGAGTGAAGAGATGCAGAGAAAAATGAAAGTAAAATAGAGTTAACGTTTTGTTTATACTGTATTTAAGTATAGTTCCTATTTGCCAATATTTGGAACACCTTCCCCGGCAGATGGATCAGTTACATGGTCCAAGCAGTTGAGGAACCTCAACTACCTTGATTTTTGTTAAACGCCTTAAAAGTATTGCGTACACTGAGCCAGTTCCTAATGCGCAGACTTTGAGGCAACAGGTGAATGCTGTCCTGATACATTTAAAAGGTTGTGTCAGTCCATGATGTGGCATGTACATGTTTGAATATAGATCCATGGGGGATACTTCGAGCATTTGCCTCTGTAACTTTATGCATTTAATAAATCCTTCATTTTGTTTTAACTACGCATTTCCGGACATATTTTTGTTTCTTGTCCTGACTGGAATCATCACCCAAAGTTTGCTCCCTATTTTGGAATCATCCTTTACTTTTATTTATTGGCCAATACTGTTTTTTGCTATTTAAAAAAAATTAATCCAGAAATGTCGATTCTTTCAAAGTGTATTCATCTGATCTTGTAAATTCCTTAAAAACAAAATCATCATATATCAGGTACCCATTAAAATCTGTCACAGACTTTATATTCTTTCACGTGCTAATAACTAAATTAAAACTTGTGATGTAAGATATCACACGACAGAACGCTATTGTATTCTTAAAAATTGTCTGTGCCATTTCCTGTAAGTCTGCCATAGTTTCAATTAAGTTTTAACTCTTGATTTAAGCTTTTAAGTCACCCCACTGTACTGATTTTAATAATGATATACAATTCATATTTACTGAAAATGAAGTATTGAAAATCATACTATTTTTCTAGCTGAAAAGAAATAAACAAAAATATTTAGATGTAAAGAAACAAAATTAAAAATTGAAATTCCATAGACTCCCGGTTAACCGGGAGGTTTAAAAACTCTACGTGTAATGAATGCACAGCTCATTCGGTGATAATGCAGGAAGATGGTTACAACATTCCACACGAACATAGTACTGTATATAAATTTCAAGACACTATAAAGACCATTCGTTCCAATGAGTTTATTGTATGTAAAATCTAAAATCGATGAAAATTTTCTCCATTGTTTTCCCATGGACGCCAGTATCTGGCGTCCATGGGAAGACAATGGAGAAACTCAATAAGAGACTCAGGAAAGTACCCCAGACGATGAGAGAAAAGGGGTTTACTTTGAACAGAGATGGATGCAAGTTCTAGGAGACAGAGGTACTATTTTAGAACGCCATTTCTCTAAGAAGGGAATAAGACCAACAGAAAACAGCAGAGTTGATAGTTAACTTTCGACAACCATCAAGGATCACCAAGCAACAGTTCAAGCGACAAAGTGTCTTGTGATCTACGACGTGGCAGTTCAATGCTCGGCAAGCCTAAAATGCGGAAAGAAGCATGTTTTAAGAACTACTCTATGTGCTTTGAGATGTACCGATACACAGAAATACATGCTATATTTCATATGGTATTTGTGTATTTTAAACTAACTCAAATGTGGGTAATCACTGATGTCTAAACAAACTCAATAAATTGCAATTTAAGTTAATTACATTATGTCGTTAAAAGAAATTAACAAGAAAGAGGCTGAAGTGTCTAGGAGGCGCTTGGCAATACATTATTAACGGGTTGATCAGGTGGTTGTAATGGTGTGAGTCAAAGTGTTGATCTGTTATTATCAATAGAAGCCGTGGAGTTTGTTCTAAATTAAAATCTGAACATGGCAATTTCGAATTTTAATTTAATCTACACTAACAAGTAGGAACCACGCTTATTTCTTCGACGACACAAGAAATGAAAAATAATTTTGATTGTAACAGACACCTAACAAGTCACAGCAACAGGCCGGATTTGTACTGTACATAAGCTAAATCAGCTGTAGCTTAGGGCCTTGGGTTATCAACCTTTTAGCTTAAGGCCTGACATTTTTATACGTATCATTATTTGGTAGAGAGGAAGAGCCTATTATGTGTTATTGCTTGGGACCATAACAAGTCTTTAAGTCCAGTCCCGCTAAGGAGATGAAGTTCCAAATATATATTAAATTAATAAGATTATTCGCAATTAATATATCTTTAATTAAATATATAATTATCCTTATAAACTGCTTTGAAGGAAAACGACCTTATTACATCTTTAATGATATCATTCAAATAAAATCTATACTATCCTAATTTCGCTTTAATGTTTTAAAATCACAATTCAGGCTAATACTAAGAAATATATATACATTTAAAATAATTATCTATGATTAAAAGCTACAAAATAAATTATTCAGATAATATGGGTATTACCTGTATTATGTTCTACTTAAAAAAAGATTAAATATATCCTGTTCTTCTACTCGTAAACCATTAAAAACATGGCGGAAGTAAAGATGAAATTATTATCTAATCTTGTTGAAGATAACGTTAACAGATTACTATTTACTCGACTTCCTTAACAATATGTGAATTTATTTAACTGTGATTTTAGATATTTTGGCATAACGATGCTCAATTTTTGATTAACAACAAAGTTTCAAAGATATCGTCACGTTTCTCTTAGAGGGAAAGGATTACTTTTCACCATATCAGAGTGGATTTCGTAGTAACAGAAGTACCACAGACAATTTAGTAAACCTTGAAACATCTATACGCGAAGTGTAGTTAGACGATAGCACTTAGTGTCTATGTTCTTTTATATAGAGAAGGCCTACCATCGCTGCTGGCAATATGGGATACTCCGCGATCTAGGGGAGATCCCATATTGCGGATTGCGGGGTAATTTGCCAATTTTTATTAAAATCTTCCTATACAATCGAAGATTTCAATTTAGGATGAGCATCACTTTATCTAGGCCTTTCACACAAGAAGAAGTTGTTCCTCAGGGTTCTATTTTGAGCGTGACTCTATTTCGTAGTTAAAATTAACAGTATAGATAACTGTCTACCTTCCAGTGTAAAACACTCTCTGTATGTGGATGACCTCCAGATCTCCTGTCAGACTAGTAACATGAGTTTTATCGAGAGACAACTGCAAACTTTCCTAATTCTCATACAATATTGGTCCAAGATCAATTTTTTTTACGTACTTTTAACACAGAGAAGATCTCGTGCATTCACTTTTTCCTAGGCGCAGTTTGCACCTGGATACTGAAATTCGCCTATATGGGGTGAAAATTCCAACGGTGAATGAGGCTAAGTTTTTGGGTGTTTTGTTTGGCCAAAAATTGACTTTCTTGCCACACTTGCGCAACTTGAAGAGTAGATGTCTAAAATCTCTGAACTTTTTAAAGTTACTATGCTATTCATCCTGGGGAACAGACAAATGTTCTATGTTCAGGATTTATAGGGCCCTTGTCCGCTCAAAGCTAGATTATGAATGCATTGTGTAGCGCTCTGGGCGAGAATCTACTCTTCGGATACTGGAACTAATCCACCATCAAGCATTGCGTTTGTGCACTGGTGCTTTTCAAACTTCCCCTGTTCAAAGCCTGTATGTGGATGCTTATGAGCCTCCACTATCCTTCAGGAGAGAACAGTTGTCTTTTTTTTTTATTATATTAAACAGCAATCGCAGATTGAACCATCAGTTGCTTGTACAGTACAGATATTCAGCTGAAAAGGTTATTTCAGCCCGCCCAAGTAGTGTCTCTACATTTGACATAAGAATGGAGAATGTAAGCAGAACGATTGATCTGGACACAAGCAACATTTCACAGCCCGAGGTTGATAGTATGTCATAGTATGTCACCTTGGTTAACTCCTGTGATAGATGTAGACTTTAGTTTAAAGCAGTTTCCTAAGGAACCCACTCCAGATTACCTCTATAGACAGCACTTTGCAGAAATTGAACACCGTCATAGGAATTTAATTCCTATATACAGTACACTGATGGACCTAAACTACGTTGGCTCAGTCTTTATTTGCCAGGATGAAATCATGGCAGAACAAATAGCACCGAATTTATCCACCTTTACTGCAGAACTGCAAGCTATTTACCTAGCCTTAAGGTATGTAATCAGAAAAGGTCATTGTTGCTGCGTGATTTACACTGACTCAGTTAGTGCACTTCAAGCTTTGATCTCATCTGAACCTAGTTCTCACTCCATAATGATTAAAATTCATAAACTGATTTGCCATTTTTCTGCGAATACTTTCTCTCCAAAATTTTGTTGGGTCCCAGGCCACATGGGTATAAGAGGGAATGAACAAGATGACGCATCTGCAAAGCCAGCAAGTCTTTCACAGCGTGCAATGCCTATTGAAGGAGACGACTGAAGCTAGTCGTTAATTAAAAAACGACTAGCAGAGAGATGGCAAAATGTGTGGAACACACAAGTCCACAATAAACTACACGAGATCAAACCTTTGGTAGAAAATTAAACACATAACGTAGTGTATGAAAGGAGATCTGAGGTTATCCTTACCCGTTTGAGAATTGGACCCTTCAAAAGGTATTGATCAGTCAGCCGAGCGGCTGACTCATCAATACCTTTTGAAGGGTGATGACCACAGTATGTCAATACAGTAGAGCGTCGATTTTCCGAAAGTCAATCATCCGAAACGTCAATCATCCGAAAGAATTCCAGTCGGCAAATTTAAATTTTCGCCAGTGCTGTGGCGCTTCAATCTTTGGCTATGTCTTGGGCTACTCAAATATTTTACGTTTTTGATACTAAATTAACATCTGAAGTATAACTTTTTATTGTTTATATATTTTTCAATATATTTATTTTGTTTGTACAAAATAAAAAAATAATTTTTAACGATACAATAGTCTTCGTTAGGCTTAATATCGACGAAAATTCAACGCGAAGCGACACGCAACGGAGAAAAATTTCAACATTGGATACGTTAAACTATTTTTTCGTACATAAATCGGTTATCCGAAATATCAGTTATACGAACAACCCCAGTCCCCAATTGATTCGGAAAATCGACGCTCTACTGTATTGCAACTGTACTGTAAGTGTTTAACACATACTCTGCAACTGCATTGCTTTTGAGAGGATTCGTAGACAACATTTCGGAAATGCAAGTTTGACATATACATCTTGTTGTTATATATATTTGTACTGTTATATACTCTTGTTATTGGTTTTTTTGTTATTTTTTATTTTACATAATATATTTATTAGATTGCACAATTTTACCATTTGACATGGCGGAGCTTAACCTATGTGGCCCTTGCTCCAAAAAAAATCTCAACGAACCAATTATCGAATTAGAAACGTTATTATACTTATTAATATTATCTGTACGATAGTAATAAATAATTAAAGTAGTAACTGAAATATTTATAAATTTTAGAATAATCAAATTTTTTTTTATAATGAACTTTTGCCGACTTTTATCGTTAGGTGGCGATTATCAAAAATGGCGGTAAAGTTGTAAAAGCGACAATGACAGAAGATAAAGACGGCGAAGTCGTCGTGAAGTTTATAGGCGATGAAGATGTTTTCGAAAATATCGTACATATTTCTCTCAAAAGGGAGAAAAATAAAAATGGTAAATGCGTCGTGTACAACGTATACTTTTGTTTTTGGTGGAATTAATTGAATTTTAATTGTGACGTAATGAATTGTGACAGCATGAATACACGTGAGCGACTCACGTGGCCCACGTGTATTCATGCTGAACATGTGGGTAGAAGTTACTTTTAGGTCTTGTTTATGTACATTTATATACAGAAAAAAAGATTTAAATGTAACTTTTACCCAACATGTGACTGCTTTTCTCCCTGAGTGTTGTGAAGATAATTTCTCAGTTCTTCCATGCAGCAATTGAACATTTGAAAGCACATATTGAAGACTACTTTAATTAATTGTTTCTAATTGTGATCATTGATAATGATGATATCCAAAAGAATGTGGGAATAAATTTAACATTTCTTTGAAAAATGGATGGAAGTTTATTAGATAACTTCTAACCAGTGATCATAAGTCATGGTCACACTTTGAGATTTCCTGCCATACAGACAATGGCAACCATGATGGCTGTTCTTGTTAACTAGTAAACCACCTTTGAAAACTGGTGTGACCACAATTAGAAACAAAATATTTGTTCTACTTGTGACGATTGCAAATGCGTATCCAATCAGCAAATGCCTTTGTGCCATGTCATATGGTGGCATTGAAAATAATGAAGTATCAACAAAAGATGTTCTCCAGGTGAAATATACATCTTTGAAGTTTTATCATCTTTATCTATTATTGGGGTTATCCTCCTTAAAATACTTTGGAAGGTATTCTTATCCATATGAATATATCCCCGATAACATTTTTCATCTGAAAGCCTTATTCATTCATCACATGGTGGAAGCATGATTGTTTAGCTCATTGATTTTCATTTTGCCAAGTTTTAACCCAAAAGGAATGTTTTCTCTTTGTGTATTATCTCCAGCTCAAACAGAATGATTCCCTTTTTTTTTATTCATTGCAGAAAAGGAACTGCTTGCTATTTTAATAAGAAAAGTGGCTAAAATTTCGTAAATACTCTGAAGTAGAACGTAAACTGTTGGTAACTCACGAAAGTAGTCAAAAATAAGCCGCTGTAATTTTATTGGTTTATAGGCTCGCGTGTTTCTGAGTTGCAACGCCAACAAACAATGTAACCATGATGAGACATGCGCAACTCACGCTTGTTGCGGTTGCCTGCATTGTTGGAAATCACTAGGTGTGTCACTGCTTTCAGTACAGATTTAGCTATGAATGAGATTAGCTATGAATATATCATAGAAAAAACATTGATTTTTATAAAAAATTAGATAAATAGAAATAAAATGAAAGAACAAATAATTTAGTTTTTACATAAATTTATTAAATAAAATAAATAATTGAAAATATTATGGTAGACCCCAATATTTATTATTCTGAGAGCCTAAAAATAAATCATTCCCACACGGGATCCAGTTCTATTAGCGAATGTTTACTCCATACAGAAAAACTATCATCTGAAAACAAAATTAAAGTTGATATAGTTATGAAAGCGAAATGCTAATTAAAAAATTTGTCTCGATTATTCAAGATTATCTGAGTCAGCAACAAGGCCACAATCAGATTCTTCAGACTAGGTGGATTGCTTTCAATCTCTTATACAAGTTTAGCCAGTCTACTGATGGTTCTTACTTTAGCATTTGAGTTTACAAAATAGGCATTTTTGAATCTGGGATCCAGGATTGTGATTAAAGCCAGTATAGCAGAATTTTCTATTTTCAAAAATGTCTTTTAAATTCATCAAGAAGAACTTTTTGTTCTTGAGCCAATGAACATTCAGGTGTGAACTGTTCTGTCTACTTTCTAATATTACTGGCTATTGGAATAATAATACTACTGATGACATATATGTAAGAAAAAAACCGTTAATTTTTATACGAAGTATTCTTTTTTAATTTTATATGATTTTATATTCCATTTGACTAAAAAAAGTATAAAAGCATAAATAACAAATATGAAATAATAATGATGTTTTGATCCTAAACCATCAATGTTGTTTTTCTAATGATGATTTTAAAACAGCAATGTTCCAATCCTATGTTGGTCTGCACTGTGTTACTGCATATTACTGCAGCCAGCTGTGATTTATGAAACATATTGCAATATCTGTTATAAAATGAAGGTTTTTATTACAATTTATAATCTGTTATGAAAACATTGAGCAAAGTAAAGTCCTTATACATTCATGTAACTGATGAAAGCAGATAGCTACAGTTACAAATGTGACTTGTAGTAAATTGACTATGTGCTTTGAGATGAAAATGCCTGTGGCATTCCTAGCTGTAATATTTGGAAAGTTAATTATCCTAGCTTGAGAATGATTCACGATACGGAAAAGAAGTCAATTACAAAGTCAGGGCATGACTGATTTAGTACAAAAGGTTACTTGGTGAAGAAAGCATAAAATTGTTTACGTTGAGCACAGGTGGTAAAAGATGTATTTTTTGTGTGTTCTTATACCTTTCTCATGTTTATATATAACTAGCTGCAAGTACCCGCTTCGCTTGGTTGAATGTTTTTGCTTTACAAAACTTACATAATTGAACCATTCTCCCAATTACTACACTTAGATGTTCATTATAATTTTTAGTTGTATCATAATGAAACACTTCGTGTTGAAGACTGTAAGTTCCTTGCCATCTTTCGCGCATAGTGTGTATAGTTTTTCTAATAATTGCGTGTTGACCTGCTCATCTAGGTGAATGTTACTCATTCTCTCTCTACTCTGCTTTCTTCTTTCATTCAACTGCGCACTTGTTTCTCTTCCTCTATGTAATTTTTCTCTGAATTGATGTGTTTCCCTATAATTTTCAAGTTGCTCTTCTGTCTGATTATTTCTGTTTTGTTGATAATTTTCTCATAGCAATGTTAGACGTACTTCTCTTTCTTCCGTGGTTTGTTTTCTCCGTGCCATCTTTTGCCTTTGCGATATGATTCGAGATTGCAAAAATTTTTTTCTTACATTTTGTCATTGTTTTTTATATTTTTACTTTTCACACTTCACTATTCACTTTTCACTTTCTACTTTTTTCTGTTATTTGTACACTTTTACTTACGAAAAATCAACTGAAGCATGTGCCTCACACTTTGTGAAAAGCCATCTCTACTACTCGCACATAATGGTCCTCGACTATTCCAAAATATTTTCGAACCTTCTGGCCCAGTTCATTCTAGAAAATTCTGAATATTGTAGGAGATTTTAACTAAAATATTTTTTTAATATAATAATTCAATAAGAACTGATAAAATAAAATTATTTGTACATAAAAAGTTATTCAGAATACGATTGGTAAAGAAAAATTCGAAAAAAAAATTCAGATAGTTATTTTTAATCATGAAATATTTAAAATTTCTGGAAACATCCAAAAACTTCTGAAATAATATAGAATATTATGGATCATTTTTGAAGGTTCTAAAATTTATTAAAGTAATCCAAAACTTTCTGGAATGTTCGTTTTATCGTTTAATTTGTTTTTTATTATTTGATTATTAAAAAAAATGTACTATAATGTATTATTAATTTAAAAAGAAATGAAAGGGGGTAGATTGCAGGGGTGAAGAATGAGAGTGAAAACAGAGAATATGTGTGAGAATTTTATGATATTCCAGAAAATTTTAGAACTTTCTAGAAAAAACTGGATCATTCTCATTGAAGTGTCGCACATTTTCGAAGTCAACCACTTTCAACTCCCATATCTCCCACATCCTTATAGCTATCGAGACGCAAGTACCATACGGGACATTCCAATTTTCAACGCAAGTGTTGAGTGTCTAAGTCAACAATTTGACGTCATCAACGACATTCCAACTCGAGTACGAAGTGCTTAGTTCCCATAATTCCATTCTCAGCAAGATGAATTCCATTCAATGTCTTACCAATTACCCACAATTTATGGGAAAGTAGCAGTCAACATATCTGTTGAGTGCTGTGTGTGTTGAGTCAGCGTTGACAACAGCGCTACCTCAACGTTGAAAAAAGGAATGAATTTTAACGAATGTTGAGATCAGTGCTGAGTCAGCGCTGAAAATTGGAATGCCCCGATAGTGCACGATGGGTGACTTGGGGCTACTACCACTACCACTAACACACACACAAATCATTCATGTGCAATGTGTAGTTTCGGCTGCAGAGTGAAATACAGGCACAAACACATCCATTTATATATATATATATAAATGTGTGAATTTGTCTGTCTTTGTAATTTAATTCATTATTGCCTGTTGTACATTATATATTGTATAAGTTTTTTTTGTTAAGTTAAATAAAAAAATTACCTTGTTTTATTAGTTGGAGTATCTACAACAAAGTTGAATGCTTGTAAACTTTCTACTGATCAGGAATTGATAACAGATGAAGAAGTAATACATAAAAGAGTCAGAAGTAAGTAATAAAGAAAATTTATTATCAAAATTACACAGTGAATTATGAAAATAACAACACTTTGATCTTTATTCATTTGATATAAATTACCTATTTTCTAATTTTATACAGTTCTTGAATTCTATACCATGTGTTGTATTTGTATACAAACAAGATATAAACCTATTTTTGCTTCTATGTCAGGTAAACTGGGTCTCTAAAAAGAATGCTATCATTAAATTATTGTAATTATTATCTGAGAATGTTTTAATGTACATCAAAACTTTGGAAAATCATTCAAGTTTCTCAATATGTGTGCCTCTTGTTCCACATTACACATCTGACTGATAGTTAAATTCTTCATACACCCGCTATGGCATATCACTCCTCCCATGGCAGCCATAATTCTATGGCTCCCATAGATTACTTATATTGCAGAATCGTAGATAACTCATATCACTTGGATTGTTACTCTATTGGTTGGTGTACTCACACTTTTTAGATAATAATTAATGTAATTTAAAATAGTAAAATTTATTTTGGAAGATTCTGTATGTGACAAATAGATATTTCGATAATCATTGAGATATAAATATTTGTATAATAAGTCAAATAACCTTCAGTTTGAAAGTATAACATTCAAAATTGAAAATGTTTTTGGTACAGGAAGAATTAACTTTTTATCTGATTCAAACTATTTTTCTTGGCATGTAAACGTTTTAGAATACTCTAACACTTGATCAATTAATTTCTGATCAAGGACTACTTTAAAATTGTAATTTCTACTGCTTGGGTATTGTGGTAGTATGATTTACAAATACTGAGCTACTATGTATTCATGTATGCATTGGGTCATTCATCCAGTTTTATAGTAGAGAATGCATACTTTACAAAGAATTTTTGGTCTGTTTGCAGAGCTACATTTAAACCATGTTAGCTACTTAGCATCTTATTAAAATCTCTTGCCATGATATATTTCTTCAGAGGTCAAAACAGTTGATAATAGCTGGATGCAAGGTTCAGATTTTATGGCATATGGCCCAGAACCTTCTAATGGTGTTACAGAAACAATTTAACACAAACCCTGGATCTTGACACTTTATAACTACCATCTGTTTGGCCTTCTAAAGAAACATGATCTCAAAAGATAGGTTTTCATTACGTGACAAAGCATCCAATGTGATCCTTTCATACATTGAGTGGTCAATAGACTTTAAGGCGAATATATATATAAGTATAGTTTATGTACTCGAACACTGTGCCACCGTAATACTAAAATAGCAGGAGTCGCAGTTTTGAAGTAGTCCGTGATTAGAGTTCATTTTTTGAAAACATAAAGCATTAATAAAGAAAAAATTAATTTATTCTGTATAAATATTCATGTAATTGAGTGATGTATAAATAATTTTTGATGAATTTGTGATATTAAAATGCGTAATGTCTCGAGATATTTATCTGAACGTTCTATCTTAGTTTTTGTTCTATAGTTTGAACTGCATTCATATTTTGTATGCGGTTTCTGAAAATTGTCGTTCAGAATGGTTGAAAATGTTTGTAATTCAAATGTATTTGATGAGATTTATGGGGGTTTTATTATCATCTGTTGGATTTTTGTTATGTTGTCTATTAATTAATGACAAAACAAAAAACTCTATTGTATTATTATCATACCATCAAACGATTGCTAGATATCTGTCAGGCTATATTAATGCTAATAACTATCAATTTGGCTAGAGGTTTATTGATTTGTTTATTACATGTATTGTCATACTAATGACAATTTACGGTAGCAGAATTTAGAAGTTCATAAAACATTAAACACACTCCAGAGATGTGGAAAATCCTTAAAATTAAGTAGTGGCCACATTACAAACAAAGATGTGGATCAAAAAAAGATTACATTGTGACAGAATGTCAAATGTTCTTGGCTGGTCATCTACATATATCAGATCATAGGCATTTTAAGACTTCATATCAGTGAATATCTTCCAAGGGAAAAAGGAAGAGACGTAAGACCAAGCAAAACAGCAGTGTATGTTCAAAACTATAACATATGTTTTTTAAATAAGTTAATTGATTTTATAGAATATAAAATATTAATTTCTTATTTTATATTTTTAGGAAATGAAGATAATGCATCAACAAATCCAAAGAATTCAATAAAATCTACAAGAGGTATGTATACATTGGGATACAAATAATGGGTTACAGAGAAGTTGAGTTAGATTTAATTACTCACGGATTTGTCAATAATTCACTAGCTTATGCTCCAAATGTCCTTTGGGAAACTAAAAATGCAAATGTCAAGTGAAGTATCCAAGTCAGCATTGAGAATGCTTCATATTTTCAGAGTTATTGCAAAGTTTTGGAAATAAGTATAGCAAAATAATTGTTTCTAACCTAATATATTATTATAAATTATAACAAAAGATCACAGAGTAATGCAAAATGTTTGTATTGTCTATGAAGAGAAGGGCTCCTTAGTATTTAACTATAAAACCGTAAAAATTAAGTGTAATATTGAAGGTCTCTTCATATTTATTGTTTAAATGGCATATACATTTAGAACCCTTTTCAGTACAGAAAGCTTTTACAGTACAGTTTTTATTTTCTGACGTATTGAAAGATAGTGAAATTTTCAATGTTTGTATTTGAATATGTATAAAATAATGTATTATTTTAACATGTTATTTTAATTATAAATAATTATAACATGTATAAATGATGTATAAAATAAGATGAATGAAGTAGAATATATTTTCCTGAAAAAATGCAAGTTATATATTTTTATTTTGCCTACCACTGTCTAAACAGATTAAGCCATTGAACACTAGTAATTGGTTTCGAGTTTATGCCCCATCAGTAGCGGCCAGCCCATTGGTGAGGTGCAAACTTTCAGGGTTTTTTTCATATGTCTAACACCTAAATAGGTCTCAGGTTTCCATAGAAGTTTTGCTGGAAGGCTCTTCTTGACAGATTGCCCATGTATTGTTGCATTGCCATATCCCATCACTCTTATTTCTAATTTAAAAAATATTAAAATTGAATTATTAATGTTAAAAGTCATTTTATAATTTTTATATCATCATCAATATTACAGTTTTGATAATTACAGTTTTGATGTATTGATAATGAATATTACAGTTTTAATGAATTGATAATGAATGCTACATTATTGAATTTTTTATCCATTCATTGAATATTTATATTTAATCTTTTTAGTTAAGAAAGTGGTTCATTCTCAACATATATCTGATTCTGATAATGGAGGTGATGACGGTGAAGAAGAAGTCAAAGATACATTTATAAAAGTAAGTGTTGGTTAAATTAAAATGATTGTGAACATTAAAAATACTATTTCAATTCCATTTATTTCTGTTAATTCTCTCTATGTTTTCCACTCTTCTGCAAAATGCATTTCAGGTTGTATTTGGTCCCTTTTCAGTTGCATTAATAGAGTATAGCATTTAGAGAGTGCCAATTAAGTTTCAAAAGTGTTTTAACTTGAAGATAGTTACTACTATTGTTTTATTGTTAAGTTATAAACAATTATTAATTATTAAACATTTAAAATTATAATTATTAAACATTACAAGAAAGGAAACAGTAGGGCAAAGTGTAGTAATCATACTTTATAAAAAATACAAATAAAATAAAATAAGTACAAGTAATGGAACAGTTCATTTAACAGCACAAAAAGTGCTCTTCACCTTTGCCAAACTGAATAATTCCTGTCATTTCTCATAGAAATGAATTATCTGATTGAACAGAAAGTTCTTGCACTTTTAGGAACTTTCTAGAATAACTTTTTTCTGGAACATTTTAGAATGGTAGTATATAAACAGGTTGGGGTAAGTGCTATAAGAAAATACCAAATCCAGTCCTCTCACTCTACTTACCATGACCAACCAACATTCGCTAACCATAGAGCAAGTTTGCCTGTTCCTTGCTTATGACTATTATTCCAAAAAAAAGCAGCCAATTCTATCACTGAAATCAATGCTGCGTTAGGCCCGGACACTGCATACAATTGGTACAAACACGTCAAAAGTGGAGATACCTAACCTAAGAAGATCATGCTCTCTGTCTTCTCGGATTCTAAAGGAATTATCATGTTCGAGTTGCTGCCGCAAAATATAACCATAAATGCAACTTTCTTCTGTAAACAACTCGATGTCTGCAGCAGAAACTGTTAGAGACCCACCTGGAACACCAGAACACCATCCTGCTGCATGACAATGCACAGCCACATACAGCTAGATAGACAGACTCACCAGAAGCTACTGGACCTGAACTGGGAGGTCTTGCCCCACCCGCTGTATAGCCCTGACATTGCATGTTCGGATTACTACCTGTTCGCCGCGCTCGACCGTCAACAAGGAGTTCAACAATAAAGCTGACTTAGAGGCAGCCTGACCAACTTCTTCGAGTCGCAGCCACCAGAGTTTTATCGAGATGGCATCCATTCCTTGCATAAGCATTGGCAGGAAGTGGTCAACAACAACGGTGATTACATTGATGATTGAAGTCACTTCTGTACATAAAATTTTCTTGGCTAAATGAAATGCGTCCAAAAGTGTGAGAACTTACTGTTCAATCAGATAATTCTACAGTAGAATGTAATTACTGGTATTGCTTATTTGATGGTAAATATATTTAAAAATTCACAAAATAATTGAGGGATCCATAAATATAGTATAAGTGTCTTCATGTTTCATTCTTTTTTACATCTCGGGAATGTAACAGACTTGCAGCAGAGTCACTCTTTTATTGTAGGCTATCGTCTGCCTTAATATGTAAAGCATTAAAAATTTCCTCTAGTGATGTACATTAATTATATAAATACAATTAATGAAATGGCCATTTTATTAATGTTTTTTCAGAAGATTGAAATATTTTTAGCTGTCTTTTTACGCTATTGATTTCAGTGTAATAGTAATTAGTTTAAGTGGGGCTTTAAGCTTCAAAACGTTTATCATTTTTTAATCATTATTTGCTTGCAGTTTAGCAGTTTAAATTGATGTTTCTTTAATAATATGCTGTATGAAAAGTGGTAATGCAAAAAGTCAGCAAGTAAACACTGAATGAATAATTAACAATAATTATAATCAATAAATTTTTAACTTATATAGCAGGGGTGGCCAACCTGCGGCTCGCGAGCCACATGCGGCTCTTTGAATGATTATTTGTGGCTCTCGATAAATGTACCCGAGTTCCCTTTTCATTTTTGTGTTATTATATTTTAAAAAATTATTATCGTTCCATATGTGTTTCAAAATGTCTTTTAAATTACTAACAACAAATATGAAAGACTAAGTGCAATGTTGTAACAAATTTCATTTCCATCCAAGTTAAGAATGATATGACTCATCGAAAACTGCGCGAACGAACATAAACAGTGGCGTAATCGTCCATTATCGACCGACTNAATTTGTTATATACCGTTCTATTTGATTTATGAAATTGGAGTACCATTCTTAATATTTAAAGGTGCAGTAATACAATTCTTCAAAAAACTGTTTTAATTTTCTGGAAAAAAGAACATATTCAATTGTATATGTATATAAACTACTACTACTACTACTACACACACACACATATAAGCTATTTTCTTAAATTAATGAAGTGAAATTATAAAGAAAATTGCTTCATTTATTAAATGACATAGTTAAAGAGAATCTTGAAAATAAATTAATTGTCAATTAGAATTTATGAGTAAAAACTGTGATAAAGAATATGAAGTGGCGAATATTCAAAAACAAGAGAAATTTACTTGAGAAACGCATTTAAGAAAAATTGAGTTCAATTATTTTAATTTTTTATTTGAGAACTTTGTAATGCACATTAAAACATTGAAAAACCATCCCAAGTTTCACATTTGCCATTACAGTTTCTCAGTGTATGCATCTCATATCACATGGCACACATCAACTAATACTCGTATTCTTTCTATGCTTGCTATGGTATATCCAATATCACTCCTCCATGGCAGCTGCAATTCTATGGCTTCAGATTACTTGTGTTGTGCAACGATAAATGATTCTAGCTTTGTGAACTGTAGAATTCAAAATGCCTTTTCTGTTGTGGAGTTGCCATTTTTATTTATGATGCTTCCTAGAGATAGTAAATGTTGAGACATTTGAATGCAGATTAGGTGAAACTATTGATAGGTGTATGTCACATACTTCTTAGATAATAATTAACATAATTACAGTAAGTCAAAGTAGTAGCATTTATTTTGTTAGACCATATAGTTATTTAACAGTAGAGATCAGTCTTAAGCTTTCAGATTACATAAATATTATTAATTTGTATTTACAATTTATTAAGTAAATTTTATTTATTTCACATAATTTATAAACTATTTTAAAAATTAATTTCGGATTCGACTTCTAGAAATATATATATTTTTTTTAAATTTCAGGATTTTGAATTTAACAATTACTTCATTCAAAGTGGAAATAATAAACATAAAACATCATCACATACACTAGCAGAATTGAAAATGACTCTAAGTGATGATAATTTAAGGAAAGATTCACTCAAGAGTTTAAAAGATTTACATGCAAAAGAAAAGTATTTGCTAAGACAAAAATATCGTCATTTATATAATAAGTGGTACATTCTATTAAAGTAAGTATTATGATTTATTAGTTAAAACTATAAACTTATCATCTGTTAAGTCAAATTCAAAACGATAAGAGACGTTACTGAATTTCCACAAAAACGTTTTTTATTACGAGTAAAACGTACATACAGTTACAAAAGTTCACAAACAACAATTACAATACTTAATGTGTAACAAAGTTCAAATACTTTTAATCCACAACAACAGGTTCGTCGAAAAGGACACCTTGCAATGAACTCCTTCAAATGTTAGTTACCGCACAGCGAGACGAAACAATCTTCTAGGCAAGCTTAGGCGAAGCTAGACGAATGTGAGTTCCCTTGATGTGTCTTAGGCGAACTAAACTTTCTTCCTTAACTCAATCCTTTTATATGGATTGAGGCAAATGGAATTCCACCAGTCAGCGTTTAGTAGCGCTATCGGACATCTGCTGGTTGTACGATGTCTTCCAGCCAATCCACGGTCGAGTTTCCAAAGTCGCCTGATCGGCGTTCCCATGATGACAACCGTCGTTTGTTTGAAAATACGGAAAAGTGCGGGAAATCGTATGTCAGACGATTTTATCCTGACATGTTATATTTTCACTCGGTCTTATTTTTCAAATAAAATCTAGTATGTGTACTTTATATTTCATTCCACAACATGAAAATTAATGTTTATTTACATCATGTAATAACAATTTACAAAATTGATATCATGGTAAATCGATGAATGATTTTACTTTGAATATTGCTTATATCACAACTTGTTTCATTGGGCATGCATCCAATGAAAAATAAAGTTTAAAAAATCATTTCTGATATGTGATTATTCAATCTTGCTGACATTTAAGACACAAATAAATAATTTTTGTGCTGATAAGCTATAACTCTTTGTTTTTTCATCATTATGAAGTGAGATTGAATAATAATATAATTGTATATGTTTAAAACAAATTTGCTAGCATAAAGAAGTGACTTTTGTTACATTGCATTTCATCTGACTAACTTAAAGAAGGCATTACTTAGTGTTAAAAATAATATCATCTGTGATTAGCCAGACATAATGTAAGAAGAGCCTGTTTGAACACAACCTTAAACACATTTATTGACATCTTGATAACAAAATTGAAACCAAAAATATGTTCATTACTATTTGGATTTATTTACTTCAATTTTTTTAAACTTAATTGCATAGAAATTAATTTTATATTAATTAAAATAACATTCTTATACAATTTAAAATATTATTAAATAACTTTCAGGTTAGTAAACTAATAAAATAAACAGTAATCGGATAAATGAAACTGAATTACATCATCTTGTGGATGGCCTGACTATTAAAATCCATTAGTCTTTAACATATAAGGAATCTCAAATTTTGTTAAATGAGATTTGCTGTTAACTTTTGATTACATTAATATATTTGAAGCAATTTCTTTCAGTTTTTATATCTAGAATAGGATTTGAACCTGTAATCCTGGCATAATTTATATTGATGCTATAAAATCTGATGTAAAATTTTAAAAATAAAATAAAAATTATAAATAAATAATTAAGAATGGAAATTAAAAGAGCATCTAGCAATAATAACAAATAAAAACTTTAATAAAGGATTAGAAATAGATAAAATCTGGTAGGATTATTTAATTCAAGAGGAATCTTAGTTTATTTTACATGTGATTTATGACTTATCTTTACCTATAACATCATTTCAACATTTTTCTGCATCTGTATCTTTATTTAAACTAATAAGACCTAATAAACTAATAATAATCTGTAATTTGCCAGAACATCAAAAATACCTTTATAAATCCAGTAAGATATTTAATATAACATCAAAAACTGTACATACTGACAAACGTTTTCAATTCGAACAGGATATTTATTGTGTCAAATAATGTTTTACATTTGGCGTGATTAGAGGAAGAAGATTAATTTCTTATTAATAAATCAATTATGACTGGTATTATTAATCTAAATAAAGGTATGGATGTAGATATATGCTAGGATGATGATGTAGATAAAGAGATGTCGTAAGTCATATGTTTAATAAAATAAAACAAATGTTAAAATGTATTTGGAATGTTAAACTGTTTTCAACTTTAAAGCTTTTAAAGTTGTACAAGTTAATTTAAAATACATCTAATTCGGAATACGTCCTGTTTGGACAAAACACATTTTGCTTGGTATACTACTAAATTCAGTTATACGTGCCATCTATGAACAAGTAGCACTATCAGTGTACTAGACCAGACTAGACGTTCGCTGTGCCACGGTTTATAACTTTGTTAAATTTCTTCTGATTTTAATTTGTAACATTTTATTATTTTTATTAATCATGAATTGCAAAAAGGCAAATGAAAAGCAACAGAAAACTAAAAAAAAAAGACTAGAATCACAATGGAACTGAAAAAAGAGATTGTTGGGAAATATGAAGGTGGCATGCATGCTCAAGATTTAACTGTTGCATACTGTATTCTGTGAATGACAATATCAGCAATTGTGAAAAATAAAGACATTATTAAATCTTCTAACATTTCGAAAGGGGTTAAATCAATTTTTAAACATTAGATTATGTTGAGAAATTGCTTTTGCTATGGATAACTGAAAAACAGTGTGCTGGCGACAGCGTATCAGAAGCAATTATTTGCGAGAAAGCTAAAAAGATACGTGCTGATCTCATGAAAAATCAAGCAGGAACTAGCCAGGAAAGTGAGGTGTTTAAAGCCAGCCTTTTTATTTTTTTTTACGTGAGAACGGATTAATCATTTTTACTTTACTTCTTATGGGAAAGGTTGGTTTGGTATACGTTTTATTTGGTATAAGTCCAAACATCAGGAACGGATTAAGGTCGTATACCCAGGTTCCACTGTATATATTAAAGAAGGAATTCTAATTTGGTCAGTGTTATAAAATACTCTTCTCTATGTACAGTACAGTGACCCCAGATTATAGTATTAGTGGTATAGACAATAAGAGATCAGAGACAATTGTTTGGTAATCTCCAAAAAATTTTTTAAACAGTAATAAGAAAGCCGCTCTTTAAAAGAAATAATTTTATTAGTTTTTATTAATAAAGTTACTACTGTTTTTATTTGCTGCTATTGCTAGATACTGTGGTAGAAGCACGCGTAACTCGAGAGAAAGTGAAGTATGAGTGGAAAAATGAAAGATGGAAGTAGATTTCTTTAAAATAGAGGTTTTGAAACGAATGTTTTGATAATGTAAACCTTTTTTAAAAAATGAAATTTTGTGAAGAAGGAACCAAGACTGAAGAAGAAATTAGAATTCAAAATGCATTTCTAGAATAAAGCTTATACAGGGTGTTTTCCTTGAATGTCCCTAGTTTAAAGAATTAATTTTAGAAGAAAAAAACATGAAAAAGTTGTAGAGTACAGTAGAGAAAGTTAATGGAAAGTGCATCTGAAAAGATTAGTTGCTACATAAATTAGTACATTTCCACATATGCTACTGATGTTAAATCCAGTATATATTGGATTTTAGCCCACATCCAAGCTAGCATGTTAGGATTAATGCTGTTAATGGCATCTGCAATTCTTGTATGTGGGATTCTCATGTCTGGCACTTTTATAGTGTACATACGATCCTTGACAGACCCACAAAGGAAGAAGTTTAGAGAGACTATGTCGGATGATTGGGTAGACCAGAGATGAGACCCCAGTGATCTAGGCTGTGAGATAGTTGCGACTTAAATCACCACTGTGAGGGAGCAGCAGCATTTTCAAGAGTGTGCACATGAAGCTTGGAGTGTTTACCAATATTCTCCAACTTATTTTATCCACATATTGCAAATGGATTTTACAGGAGAGTTTATAACTAGTGATATTAAGAAGAAAATCCTGTATTTTATGAATGTATATGAACTGTAATTTGTAAAGGTAAAACAAATTGAAAGTTTTTCTCCTGGTTTCCCAGAAGTGTGTAATTTTATTATCGAACAGTAGTTAGTTTGTTGAGAAATTATTTTAAAACTAAAAAGTTTGTTTGTTGTTTGGTTATGGCAACACAACACTTGGGCGATCTGCCTAGGGGGAGTGCCTTCCGGGAGGTTTTTTAAGGAAAACTGGCCCCTATTTAGGCGTTACAGATGTGGAGAAAACCCGGAAAACTCCACGTGGCCAGCCCATCTGAGCGAGGTGCGAACCCACGACCGAACTTCCAATGTTCAGGGAATGAAGACTGCTTGGCCACTGGTGATCCTAAAAAGTTTAGTCATGGATGATTAAAGACAAAGATTTTAATCTATTTAATTCAGTGTAATATAATATATTACTACATTGGTAATTTTGTGAACAGGGAATTGGGAAATTATGTTAATTTATTTTTACTGTATTTCTGTTTTTATATTATCTTAGAAAAAAAAATCAATGTATCTCAAGATTTTTTAAAACACATTTTTAGAAGCTAAATAAATTTAAAATTATGAAAACTTAATTTACAGTGAAGGTTTCAACATACTTCTTTATGGGCTTGGATCAAAAATTCAAATAATGGAAGATTTTTATAAAGAAATGCTAGGAAATTCTGAAATTTTAGTCATTAATGGTTTTTTCCCAGGGTTAACAATTAAACACGTAAGTATACTTTTATTCATTATAATAAATATATTATTTTATAATTGTTTTCAAATAATAATAATAATAACACTTACTAAACATGAACGTCATTACCCAAAATTGCCCATAAAAAGACTAATTCTTTCTTGTAAAGGTGGTCTTTCTTGGCCTGACTAATATAGTTAAACTCCACTACAAAAATTTCTGACAGTGCAGGAATTTTTCCACAAAAAACAAGAAACATCAAGATTACATAAAACAATAACTCTGGCAAACAGTAACAACACACCTTTAAACTTAAACTCTGAGCATCTGGACTTAGCTCAACACACAAATAACATAGACACCATTAAGTCATGGACCCAGAAGGTACTTTATCGCAGGCATGCCTGTGACCTAGCTTAGGACTATGTTGACAAAACTTTGACAAAGTACTGGCTGACTAGGAGCTGTCTATTTAAAGAGACATTTTTATGATTATCATTCACAATCAGATCATAAATGCTAAAAGCTATAGAAAACACATTCTGAAGGATACATCATTCACAAATGGCTCTTGCAGAAAATGTCACATTCTCTCAAACAATACAACATGTAACCTTTGATTGCAAGCTCTTAGTACAAACAGACAATTTAAGTAGGTATAATCAAATATAAAATATAATACATCAAGAGCTCGCACACAAAAAGATTATTAAATATTTGGGTACCATACTACAGATATATTCTGTAGTCAGTACTAGATAATGACACAGAAAATATACTTTGACAGATCCATAATCACAGATAAAACAATTCATCACAATAGACCTGACATCACTCTCATTGACAAATGCAGTAAGATTGCTTATATAATAGAAATCTCCAATAGAAATCTGTAGGAGCCAAAGAATTGTGACTCTCACAGATTTCTATTTGTGGTTTCTTTTTTATAAGTATTTAAAAATGGGAGCAACAATTGTAATGACTCCCACAGAGTACTTGTGTGAGATAAGCAGGGGGTCAGGGGTTACTCCCTTCTGACCACTTAATCTGCACGGGCTGGTAAAACCCGATCTCGAGGTCGTTGGATGGATAGGAGGGCAAATCGAGTGGGGAGTGCGTCAGTAAGTCGGCAGAGGTCCGTGGACAAACAAAAGACAGGTTTTAACATAACAAAATATAAAATTTATTATAAACTAAATCTAGAAGATATAGATTTATAAATGGATAAATGCGGTTACAAACTGAAGTGGATAAATGCAGTTACGAATACGAACAATAAATTCTTACGAAATGCATGCTCGACCCAATTTCCCAATTCTAATGCACTTTACACAGAGAGAGAGTTTACAAGTTTCAGCCCCCTTTTAAATACCTCTCGGGCGTATTGGAGAGTCAATGTGGAGAACTTCATTCATATGGACGAGTCGTTGTCACGGATGGGTTTCCAACTGGTGTCTTTTCCTCTTCTTGGTCCAGTCCGGGTTATGGAGGTCCAGGAGATGAAAATGCACACAACTACTGATTGACATCCTGATTAATTGCTCTCCCGAGCTTCCGGTGACTTCCTCTTTTATCCCTTCGTTGTGAAAAAAAGTGTCACGTGTTCGTTCAATGTTGATGGTTACGGTGTGCCAAGTTGACACTTATGAGTTCATTTTTTAATTTTTCCATCGGATTGTTGTGACTAATTGTAACCTCTGCTCTAATTCTTTCCAGGATTGTTTTGCTGTCAAATTTGTTTACAAATTTCTGACAATGTGTAAAATTGCAGATCTCACACTTGTGTTACAGAATGATGAGTGATTCCAACTTTGCAAACTGCAGAAGGCAGTTTCTCATCTAAAGTTATTAGACATTAAAAAGAATTATAGATTTTTAAATAATTTATTAGGGCAGCAATTCTTAATTCTTTTCACTCACATACCTCCTAAATCTTCTGCCTAGTAGACTTGTAGCACTAATCGATCTTTCTTGCTTACCCCTAGAGGTACGAGCACCACCGATTGAGAACTGTTGCATTAGGGAATGTTTAACTAAATTCAATTTCGCAAACATTTTTGCAAAACATTCATAAAACTGTAGCAGAATTGCATTTTTGTTTACAGTGCCTCTTAGAGGTAGTAGACGACAAGACGTCTGATTGCAGATGGGAGATGAAACTCCGACTGTTACTCTATCAATTGGCGTGCATCACATACTTCTTTGATAACAATTAACATAACTACTATAATTTAAAATGGTAGTATTTTGGAACACCTTGTATAAAAATTTTTAAATTCTGTGCAAATGGGTATATAACAAAAAGAACATTTAATTAATTAATTTTATTTCTGATAGTTAAATAAATGTTAATAATTATTAAATTATAATTTTTAAATAGAAAATTAATAATTTATCATTGAAAACATTAAAGATTACTAATATATTTAATAATTTAGTTTTTATTTATACAAACTATGTTTTAAAAAATTAAAAATTTGGTTGTTTTGATTGAAGAATATATATATATTTTTAATTACAGTTAATGTTCAATTTTTTTTCCTTTTCTTTTAAAGATTTTAAATACAATAACAGAAGATGTGATCAAACATAATAAAACTTTCCGAGATCCTCTCGATCAAGTAAAATTCATAATGGAAGAAATGGATAAAAAAAGTAAGACATGTTCATATTATAACAACAAGCATCTGGAGTATTTAAAAGAGTATTAATAGAAAAAATTATCATTATCAGAAATGGAAGAGCTGTATTTGATTATTAACAACATAGATGCACCTTTACTTTGCTCCGAAAAAAGCCAATCACTTCTTAGTTATTTAATTCAGTCTCCTCATATTCATGCCGTAGCATCTATAGACCACATAAATGCACCTTTAAGTAAGTCTAATTTATGTATATTTTTTCAGTTTGATTTTAAAAATTAAATAGATAGATTTTTCTAAAGTCTAATGTTAAATTGTAGATGATTTAAGTCATGTATATTTAATAGAAACTTAAAACGCACAAATAAAAACCAAAAGATTGTTTTACTTGACTAAATAATTCAAATTTCGTGAATCAGGTGAAAGCCAGTCTTTGGATATGTTACGGATTTGAAAAAATAATACGAGTAAAACCACTTGACAATTCGAAATAGGAGAAGTTGGTCGTACATAAGTTATATTGCTTTTATATAAGATCTCGAACTTAAAGTCTTTTAAAGATTTATGAAGTCTATTCATTAATTTTTAATATTATAAATAAATATACAAGAGCTGTGTTTGTGTAATGATTCGGACTCTGCGTGTATCTTGGAAATGGATTACTTTCAGAAAGTTTATTTAAACTGTTAATAATTAATGAATAATTCTTTTTAAGTCTTTAAAAATAAATTTGATGTTTTGTGATGGATAGTATTCATAAATTGTCTATGTTACGATCAGTTATGACTGTAAATATTATTTTATGCTCTTCATCCACTGGTATAAGCTTGAATGAAATGGATTATCTAGTTCAGCAAATTCCTAACTACTAAGATCTACAGACCTTCAATATATATATATATATAATACTATAAAACTTAAGCTACATAGCCACAAATGAAAGTTGTAAAGGAATGTTGGCTGTATGTGATGTTCTCATATACAGACTGCAGCTGATATATGAGAATGAATATGGTCTGTATTGACTGTATGTAGTCTGATAATGTCATTTGAACAAGGTTGAAAATGTTAATAATTAAACAAAAGTTTTGCTAGAATTTCTTGGTCTGTTTTGATTTTGGCTTTATTCTTTATTGTTACTATTTTTGAAAATGATTATTTAATTTATTCTTTTATAAGAAATATTATAAGAAAAACAAAGATATACTCTAGAAAACTAAATTTTATTTATTTATTTTTCTTTATTACAGTCTGGGATCAAACTAAATTAAATCGATACAATTGGATTTGGTTTGATGCCACTACGTTTTCTATATATAGCAATGAGACATCATACGAGAACTCTTTACTAACACAGAAACATGGAAAATTGGTCCTGAGTTCTCTAATACATGTGTTTAACAGTCTTACACCAAACGCTCAAGGCATATTTATGATATTGGCAAGGTATCAGTACGATCAGAAAGACAATAGCAATTATACAGGTGATTAATTGAATTATTATCTTACAAGATTTTTTATTCTCAGTTTTATTAAACTTAATTTTTAATTTTACAGGAATGTTGTTTCAAGATTGTTATCAACAGTGCAGAGAAGCATTTTTAGTAAACAGCGATTTGACATTAAGAAGCCAGTTGACTGAATTTATCGATCATAAACTCCTTCGTCTCCGAAAGGTGATGAGTCTGCAGTTTTTTTTAACATATGCGCACTCAAAAATAATTGAATTCTTAAACTGATTATATATATTTTTATACAGAGTTTGGACGGAACAGAAAATCTTACTCTCCTCTTGAATGAAAATACCCTTCAAGAGTTTTTAGAATTACAAGATGATAGTTAGTTTGATACAAGTAATAAATTTTTTCTATTTGAATATTTATTGTATTTTGTTTATTATCAACTAAATTATAAAGTTATTTTTCCGCATTGATGATGATTACATCTAACAATTCTATCACCAAATCTTTCTCATTTATTTTAATTGGAATTGAAAGTACTTGGTCTTAACTACTATTTAAAAAGTATAATTGAAGTACGAATAATCATTCTTTTCCAAAATGACATTCTCCTGTTTCTCCCTCCAACCAATATGTTCTCATTATTCCTTTGCCCTGTGATTTAATGAAAGAGGACAAGAACATATTAATAATACAGGTTTTTACTACATTAATATAAAATATTAACACTTTATAAGAGTAAAAATATTGTAACCTTATTAAGTACTATTTTTTTGATGGAGGTATGTGCCACTTAATGACTGGGAATATGTTTCAAGAAATTTATTATTAAGCAAAGGTCATAGTCAAACCTATAGAGTATTGTCTTGGGCTAAACAGTAACATAATGATAATTATCCAAACATTTAAATATAGAAAAAATACTGGTGTCTATGAATTTATCGGCTCCATTATAAACATAAGGGACTGTCATTAAATGGGACATCGTTAAGAGTTGCATACATGTAATTTTTTATGAAATGGATAGTAATAGTATCTTTATTATCAATATAAGTTTGTTTTTTATCTTTTGATCCTGGAATATGAATGAATATTGATATTTTTATGTCATTGAGAATGTATTTATTACATGTCTAGACAACTACTTATCTCATAGTACACTAAATATTTACATAAAAAGAAATAATGTAAGATTAAGCAAGAAAGTTTTTTTGCCAATCTGAAATTGTGTTGTTATACTTTTTGTTGTTTAAGCACTATTAAGTGCAGTTAATCGACCACTAGGCATCCTTTCATCCTTTTATTTTTTATTTAGTTATATCAACTAATAAAAAATAAAAGGATTTCTACAAGATATCATCTCCAGAAAGACATTTTAAACAGTTTTATGTATTTTTAGGAAGAGTTGAGCCTTGGAAGTAAAGTTGACTCTGACTATGCTTATTTATGTTTCTCTGTAATATGAAAAGGATGCTACTCAGACTTCAAACCATATATATTTTTAATTTATTTATTATTTAGGATTTTTAATGTTATCATTAATGAAAGCAGGGTAGAGAAATCTAAACAGTTACTAAATGACAAACACAACATTAGTTACATGCGGTATTTAATGATTTACATTTATATACCTTAAAGATTTACTCTGAATTGTATAAAAATCATCATATAAACAAGAAAAGCAGAATTAAAAAGTAGTTTAGTCAAGTATTGTTTATATAGAATAATTTTAGCCTAACTAATGTAGAAAAAATACTAAAAACTTTTGATATCACATACAGTATGTTGTGTGTGTTTTATGAGAAAATATTGGGTACATTCTCATATGCATCAGTCTCAGCCACAACTGATGCATCAGTGAATAGTTTAATAAGCTTTTACTGGAACATCTGAATAGTAAAATCATTTTTAATCGTCACAAAATAATTTTATGCTTGAAATGTAATTGTGGAGGTACATAACCCAACGAGTGATGTGCATGGTGGCTGCACCGATGAACTCTTCAGTGATATTGGAATGTATGTTGTACCTCATGGTTCTCCTCCAACATGCTGTTTGATGCATACTGGAATGTACCCATTTAAGGAATACCTATGATAAATTTTTTTTATTATGATAGAAATATATACTTATTAAACTACAGTCAACAGTATATATGGTGTGTCCCATAAATTGAAACCATGGAATTATGTTGATTTTTGTTTATTCTTTTACAGGTGCTGAGTAAGGAGAAATGAATTTACATCATTTTGATCACGGTAACCCACAGGAAGTTGCTGAAGGGTTTAACAGGCTGCATCCAGATTGTCATATATGATTAGGGGAAGTCTAGAAGAAGCCAGGTAAACTCTTTGACAACTTCTTACCAACTGCAAATATCCACCATCAAAATAACTTGAATTTGTTCTTCCTTACTCGGCACTGTGATTTACTCATAAAGGAATAAACAAAGATCAACATAACTCGTATGGTTCCAGACTTACGTTACACCCAGTGTATTTTTTTAAATGTTTACAATTTATTATAATTGGAAGATATTTTGCACCACATGCATTTGAAAGTAGCAGTGTATATTATTAATATATTCCTCTAAATGTTAATAAATGTGCATTATAAAACATTAGAAATGTAATTTAAACCTATAATTTTTAAGTAAAAAACTTAAGATGATGACAACGGAAGAATTATTTTGTATGAAAATACAAAACTTTTTAAATGTTTGTCCTTTTAATAATTTATCAGTTTTTAATTAAAAACTTCAAACATTTTATTCTTTTTCTTTTTGATATTTTTAATTAAGATTTATTTTCTTTTCAATGCAAATGCTCATTTGTGTGTCTGTAGACCCTTCAGGTAATAAAATAAAAGTTTATATGTTATATTATTAAAATTTTATTTTGTTTAAATAGTAAAAAACATTTTGATTTAAATATTAAAGTTATAACCGCTTAATTATTACTAAATTAGCATTTAAGAGTTTGTATGTTTTGTAGAGAATTGACTTTTATGAAGATAATTTAAATTAAAATCTAGAAGAATGAATACTTTTAAATTTGTTTTAAAATATTTAAATGAAATTTAATTAAGTTTTATTTACATTTCATTAAAAGATAAGAAATTAAAGTTCAAAATTAATAAATTAAAGCTTTTAGAATATAATAAATGTCCTGGAATAAATTTTTTCACTGATTCAATAATATCAAAACATGGTTAAGGGATTATTGTTAATTAAAACTTATCATAAATATGTAATTTTTTTTATTAAAAAGTAATACTTTAATATTAAAACTACAATAAACTTACCTTAATTTCTATATCACCTCTTAATGTTAATTTAAATGTTCCAAATATATCCAAAATGAATTTAGTTTCCGAACTAACGTGTATTTTCATGGCTGAAATATACAAATGTACATATTTATTTCTTAAAATGAGTAATATAAAGGTGAACGCATGCGCATGATGTGTCAAGAAAAGCAAGTCTGTGACTGTAATTATCTTTTGTGGAGCTGCTTGGTGTCGGGTGAAAGTAGACTTTGCTCATTTTCGCATATTTGCAGTATTGCCACAATTATGCATATGATCTTTTAATGTAGTGACTTGCTGTGTGGTGATTGCTCCTTTGCAGGCAGCATTTCAATTTTGAGACCCAATTTTCATTTCCAAGCCACACGCATGCAACTATCTTAAGAGTAAATTAGTACGTACCTTGCCCATTAGATTCCATACGAGAAGCTGTGTTTACGGTGTCTCCAAAAAGACAGTAACGTGGCATTTTTAAACCCACTACACCAGCAGCGCAAGGACCTAAATGGACAAATAATTTACAGAATTATTCACTGTCAAATTATTATAAAAATGGTTTGGTAAATGTATTCGCTTACCGGAATGAATTCCTATTCTTACTTGTAGTTTTTTATCGCTTCTGTGCCTGACTTTAAACTTTCTGATGGCACGGAGCAGCGATAGCGACATCAGAGCGATTTCTTTTGCATGCTCGTTTCCATTTCGAATCGGTAATCCTGAAACTACCATGTAAGCATCTCCAATTGTTTCCACCTTATAGGCACTATAGTGATCGATAATGTCGTCAAAACACGTGTACAAGTCATTTAATAAATTTACAACCTGCAAAATTTGATTATGTATTAAAAATTTTAATCCTGTTTTATTTTGGAGTTATAATCCCAAAAATAAGACCTGAATTGGCGTGCTTTCTGCTGCCAGAGGTGTAAAACCAACGATATCACTGAAAAATATTGTCACAGATTCGAAAGCCTCTGGTTTTATGTGGTTACCTTTCTTCAGTTCATCCGCTATGTATCTAAAATAATGTGTATACCATGTTTAAAATGATTAAGATGTAATGTGACTTTAAGATTATCTTACTTGGGTAGCAACTGATAGAGCAGTTCGTCTGTCTTTTTTTTCTCGTCGATAAGAGATAACGTCTTTGCTTCAACCAGTTGTTCTAAATTATTTGCATACTGTTCCATGCGAGATAACAGGTTATCCAAAAAGTTTCTACTGGAAATTCCTCTGAAAAAATTAGATATTCGTATGCAGATTTATTTAACATCAGTAATAATTTTAATTGTAAGAAAAAGTACTTTGTTATTTGCTTTAGTTGACTTTTAATTTCTTGAAATGTAGGTCTGTCATCGGGTTGTTCTGCCCAGCATCTTCTCATTAAGTCTAAAATATCTGATGTTGCCTCTTCCGGAGATAGTTCTGGACGGAATGGAGGAGTTGTTCCCATTTTTACCTTTTCTAATATATCTAAGAATGGAATTAAAGTTTTTGTTATAAAAATTGAGACTTAAATATATATATAAGTAAAATTCCAAAGAAGAATTTTCTTTAAATTATGATAATGAGAGTCTTATTAACATATTTAGATCAAACATATGATACATTTGTTAGCTTTTCATGACAACACCACTAACCTTCAGGCAATAAATTATTTTGTTTCTTCAGTAATCTTTCAAAAGGACCAGTTCTAGTTATGATTTCTTGCAATATAATAGCAAAACTATAAATGTCACCCTTCTTAGATCCTTGTCTCTCTGGATGTGGGTCTCGGAGATGCTCGGGAGCAGTCCAAAACAATTTATCTATAAGACAGGGGTTTGCTGTCTTGCATTGATTTTGTTTAAATGATCAAAAAATTCAATAAAACTTACAAGGATCAACCTTTTCTTCATTTGATATTTGACTGTATAAGGAATTCATACCATAATCAGTTATTTTTACCATAAATCTTCCGTCTATAACGCAGTTTGTAGATTTGAAATGGCCATGATAACCAATGATACTCGAATGTAGGAAGACCATTCCCTATTAGAAATAAGTTACATTATAATTTGAGTCTGGAGTCTTCAAACAAGAATTCCGTTATACAGAATTCCATATTGTTTATACAGAATGCAAGCATCTTTATGAACTATTTTTACTATCTTAAATCTTAAAGTTCTCAGGTAGATACTGTTATCATAGAGAATCATAGTTCAAAACTGATTGACTTCCATAATTTATCACAGGTGGCCTGGATCCACATCATTCTCCATCTTTCACCAATATTGATTGACCCTATTGTGGATCAATACTGTTTGAATTTAGCATAATTATCCCATTACAAATGCAGCTGGCCTACAATGGTTCCATATAAAACTGATCCTCACATTAACTAATCAATCTTAAATTTGATCTATGAGATTAAGGAAATTTTACAAGGAAGCTCACCTCTACAATGTCCGAAATCATCGCGTAACGAAATACCCAATCTAGTTTCATTGCATCATTGTGAATAATATCCTGAAATATTATGTAATAAATATATTAATGATGATTAAATTATTTTAACGATAGTTAATTACCTGTAAACTCCCCCTGGGACTGAACTCATTGAAGATAGCGATATTTGGTTCTTCTATACACAATCCAATAAATCTAACCAAGTTTTCGTGTGTTAATTCGCGCATCTGCAAGAACAGTTTATCATCAGGAGCGTATGGTATATCTTTATTATGTACTTAAATAGAATATGCTATTTTACCTGCTTCATTTCAAGCAGCAATGTCCTATTCACTATCAATTTTTTGACATAGAAAGTTTTTATAGCAACTTGAATACCCTGTATTAAAGTGAGGGAGTTAATAATCATGTTAATTAATTCACGACAGCTACATGAATCATCACCTTATAAATTCCAGTGGCTACTTTGCCCATCTCTGTTTCATCTAAAGTACTCTGATTTGATATCGAAGAATATATTCTCTAGAAACAAAATTAAAAAATTAATTTGATATTGAGAAGCTTCAATAAAAAAAAAATTATTTAAATTACTCTGTTAGGATCATCCATGATGCTTCCTAAAGATTTTACTCCCAGCCTTTCCGTGAAGACTACGTCCTCCCAGCGAACCCTCCACCATAAGTCTGAGAGTGTAGATTCAAATTTGATTTTCCTAGATGTGTTAATTGGATGTTGTTTTAAAAATTTTTTGCATTTTAAATGGTGAAAGTTTTCTTCCTGAGACTTACCTATAGAGATGGAAACCAATGATAATTCCTACAAGTATCACTATGACAAATACTATTCCAATACAAGCATATATTGGAAATGGAACTGTGTAATTTAAATATTCAAGATGAAATTTATTGATTTAATGGATAATTCATATCTTTAATTAATTAATTAGTTACACAGAGTGATTCCAAACTATGGTGTAAACTTCAGGAGTGGATTCCTGGCAGGTCAAAGAATAAATTGGTTCTATTAATGTATGTCTGGAAATGTACTGGTGCTGAAATACTTGTAAATTACACTGCACACACAGGATAAATCATTGCATAACCGTTTGGCATACATACATCAGGCAGAATCATAGATGTTCAAAGTATCATCCATAGATCTCAATGCCAGTGGTTGTGCATCACTTTACAATGTAAGCATGGTAGAACTGTTTGGTTTCCTGATCATTCCCATTTGTTTTTCTGTATGCGAATAGGAATAATGGATCATTCTCACATCACTACACCACACAGTTGCACAATGGACCTGTTTAGTAGACAGACAACATGCTGCACACTCCCACTTTCACTGAAAGTGGATAAGCAGATTTTAAAGTCATGGTGTATTTCTGGACACATGTTAATAGGACCATTTATGTTCTTTGCTCTTTTAGGAATACACTAAAATCTGTTTCCATAGTTTGGAATCAGCATGTATATTATTGGATAGAATAAAAAATTTGCCTTCATCCTGACAATGTGGCGCATCGCCAGTGAATCCACATTCTGGGATATCCGGTGGTGGATGTTGTGTCCTTCCAGGCCAGTGTATTGACACGTCATCTATTCTTTCGTAAATTTTCTTAGCACCAAAATAAGTAGCTACGGGCTATGAATTAATGTTAGGATTTTTGATATTGCCAATTATGGTAGAGCAGTAAAGCTACTACTCACTCTCATCGCTCCAGTTACAGGATCCAGATCGTTGAGTGTGTAATCCGCTTCTCTGTCTCCGTTCTCGTTGATATAAATAGGTTCTGTCAGCCCTACTTAAACGTTTAAAACATGTTTTATTTTTAAATTTATTATCCTTATCTCTCAAATTCACTACTTAGCGAAAAGGTGGCTTCACCGCAAAGCTCCGTTTCGTGCAGAGAAGTATGATTTACAGGCGACGCGATACATTTTAAATAACTCTTCGGGTTATAAATTAAATTTAATGAAAGTGCTACGTTGTCTAGTTTAATTAATTAACATAATTAATATTATAATTAATTAGAATTTACCCCTTTGAAAGGTATTATTCCACAATTTCCTAGCTAAACTGTAACCATCGTAAGGATCGTTTTTTTCTTGTAGTGTTTTGTTTAAAGACCAAGCGTACATCAATATACAGTCGTAGAAAGCAGCTACGATGGGATTAACCTGGAAAATATAAGTAAAATTTTCCGTATATTTGCTGGTAAAATCGTTATATTTATCGATAATTACCGCTGTCTGATTTAGATTGGTATCAAATTCCGATTTGGACATTTTAATCACTTCTTCTGCAAAGAATTTATACTCTTGACTGGTCGGTACTCTTACAGCCACGATCATTAGTGCTTCGAATATCTTTCTAGACTCCTGCAGACCGAAAAAAAAGTTTAATAAATTGCCACTGGAGATAGCCAACGTTATTTTAAGGTAGTTTTTTTTTTTTCCTTAACCTTGTTTCTGTCATCTCCATATCTGTACCATAGAAGATCGGATGATCGATGATTTTTAATTAATTCAATACTGAGAAAAGTATATTCTCCGTTATCCATATCCAATTCGTAGGCATCCAAAAGAATCTTTCTCACTGTATCGCCAGTTGCAAGAAGTATAAATACTGTAATTTATAAGTAAAGAAAATGTGGAATTATATTACATTAAAATGAATTAAATTCGTATTTTTTTGTAATGTAGAAAGAACATAATTTGAATGGATAATTTGTAAAATCCAATTTATGGAATTTATCCTATAAAATCCAGGACGATGATGTGTAAAGTGCAAGATACGTAGAATCTATCTGCATTATTTTTGCATACTTTTACGTCATTTTATTCAATGATCTTGCGTAGAAGTGACTCGAACCGGATAAAGGAATTAAATATATTAACTTTTAAACGTTAAATCAGTAAAAAAAATATAATATAAAGGTAAATATGGATCTAGAAAAAAGATCTGTGAATAAAATATCAAGAGGATTACGTTTTGAAAATCGTTGTAAGAAAGAAAAACGTTCTCGTAAAGAAGTGATTAACGATTTATGACTATAAAAATAAACTTTATAATTTACTCAACAACAATTAGAAAGATAATTGATGTCAACAAAGATGGCTTTGTAAATAAATAAATAAATAAATATATTTTTTACACTGTTTAAAGATAAATGAAGCCAATAAAATAATACAGTCTCTTCAGTAACTATACTACAGTACTATTTTACGTATTTTTAGAAATTTTTATCACATATAATTTTGATAAATGTTAGAATCATGATCATAGAGTTCTTCTTGCTTTGTGTTTAAATATTAATCTGTAAAATAAGCAAAAAGGTGAGCTGTTACTAGGATACAGAATCGCATTACGTTAATTTTATATCCTTGATATATTTTCTAGTTATTAAAAATAAAATTTTATAAATAATAATAAATTTCTATTTAATATTTAAGTATACAAAAATCGTGGTTCTCTTTGGAAAATATCAAAAGTTCAAATGGAGATTGGCGATTTATTAAACTTGTTTGGCTTTAATTTAAGTAATAGAAAATATTTATCTATTGAATTTTTAAATCTTCTCGAATTAATTTCGACTTAATAGATTCGTCTGTACGTGTTTCTTTGTTCGTTTGGTTTAACCAATCATAAAGTTTTGATTATCGATATGAATAATTTAGAAATGTTTACCTCTGGCTTGCGTGCTGCTATCTCGAAGAATCTGTGTGTAATTAAAGTCTCGATCTTTCTTAGAAAATTCCTTAACCAGAATAAAGTAAGCATCGTCTGATTTCTTTAAGCTATGAACGATACTAGCCTTGAGGAGTAGAGCTTGCAAATCCGTATCGTCGACGATTATGGCCACGTGTTTCCAGTTAAATTCTTTCAATACTTGGAGGACAAATCCACCCGTACTGTCCAACGATAGGGAGACTCTGGTCAGTGTCGAAAATGTCACTTTGTCGGCGAATTTAGTATCGATACCACCCGCAGTGAAGACGGGAACGTTCCAGTATGCTGCCATTCTACCAACAGGATCCAGGGCCAAGCTACAAGCTGGACCAACGAATGCTGTAACCCTGCGTAGATAATACTCTTCTGCGGCGAAAACTCCCGCAAAATTTGCCGTACAGGTAGTAGATCCATTCCTAAAAACGATATTGAATTTTATGTGCGGGTAATCTTCGCTGGTCTTCTTGATGGCTAACTCCAGAGCGGGTTTGATCACTTCTAAATTAACGTCGAGCTCCGACTGGTAGACGAATATGCCCACTATGAATGCTTCAAAGTCATATTCACCTCCAGTTATCCATAATGCCACACATAAGGTCGTCAGAAAGAGGAGAGACATGAAGTCTTTGTCAGGAGACCACCCGCTGAAAGGAGGAACTGGATGAATTAGGTTCATTTCTATATCTATTGTCTACTATCACGCCATCCTTAGAGTGGCGTAAGAGAATCTTCTGCACCTCCACATCACTTTGGTCCTCTGCCAATCCCCCGTAGAAAAAAGAGAAATAGAGAAGAAAATCAATAAAGTAAATACGAAAATATGAATTATGGGATTTGTAAATTGTTTAATTTTATTTATTAAATATTATATATTTCGTTACATCGTTTGACTCGACGTTATTAACTCGTCACGTCATTCTTCGTTCTAATTCTACCCCTCAGGAAATTGCCTTTCGTGATCATATACGAGAACACTCATTTTTGTTGAAGAAACCATTAGATAATAATTGTATTTACTATTTTTACGACTATTATTTGTTCTGTAGACTCATAAGGTCATCTAGGTGATTATAAGGCATTGTAGGTTGAGGAGTTGAGAGCTGTCTTAGTTTTCTTAATACGGAATTAACGCCTTGTATGAAATGACCAACCTCTTCGTACTTTGTGTTATTAAAATCCTTGACCTGTTTATCCTAAGAGAACAGACAGAAAACACAGACCAGCTTCTGTTCTTAATGTGTGTGTGTGTGTGTGTAAAATTAGCAAATCTAAGCTTAAAAAGTTAGAAAAGAATTGATAAATTTCACTAACATACTCATTACTTTTAATTATAATTAATTAGATGACTTTTTAAGCTTAAAAATTGGATTACTTTCAATGAATTTAAGATTATAATTATATCCATTTATATATAATGTAACCTCATAAACGCAATTCTTATTAATATATGTAGAGTTATGCAAAATAATTATTCTTACGTAAACATTTAATAAAGGCCTACTTGCTTTAACTAACTGTAAACAATTAAGCCATGTTTATATATATATATATATATATATATAATATTAACTTAACGTAAGTTAAATATTTTTTCTGTTTGATTATACATTTATATAATTATTAAATATGTTTTTAAATTTAATAACTTAGAATTAAACGAAAATTATTAAAATTTCTACCTGTTTACGTCGTTTAAAATACACTTAAAATTTAATTATATTTGATTGGCATGCCATCATTATCACTTCAAATAAATATGATTAGGATGAGAGATTTCATAAAATTTTCCAGATAATTTAAACATTATTACAGTATTATTATTGTTATCATCATCGTTTGAAAATCATTTAAATATAATAATAATAATAAACTTTATAAATATATATATATTTTTTCCTTTATTTGCATTTAGATAAATATTTCAAGTATTATCGATTTTAATCTGTTTTCTCTCATTTTAAACGACTAAATCTTTGTTTCATTACTTCCACGAAAATTTTATTAGTAAGAAGAAGAAAGGAGGGAGGGGGAAAAAAATAAAATTTACACGCGCTGTAAATTCACTTTTATATGGAAGAAAAAAGAAGAGGAGGAAGAATTATTTTTAGAAGCATCAACCTAATAAAAGTGAAAGTTTCGTGCGATCTCAATTTATTTTTAATTGTTGAAAGCGCGTGTATCGTTTGAAAAGTGAAAGAATGGCGCACGTGCGAAATTTGATTAATTTTGTAGTCTGCTGAAATTTCTCACCGTCGGCAATTAATAACTTTTCTTCGGTAGAAATCGCTCGTTTATTTTAGTTATTTTTAAAAAAAAGTTGTAGATTTCTTTTTTATCACGTGCGGATTAAAAAATTGTAAATTGTTAATCACGTGCTCATTTAAAAAATTGCCAATCACATGCTCATTTTAAAAAATTGCCGATTACTTCGCACGTGTCCATTTCTGAAATAGTATCGATTACCCACCACGTGTGCATTCAAAAAATTGTCAAGTACCCACCACGTGTACATTTTAAAAATTGTCAATTACCCACCACGTGCTCATTCAAAAAATTGTCGATTAACCACCACGTGTGCATTTAAAAAATTGTCAATTACCCAACACGTGTGCATTTAAAAAATTGTCAATTACCCACCACATGTGCATTTAAAAAATTGTCAATTACCCAACACGTGTGCATTTAAAAAATTGTCAATTACCCACCACGTGTGCATTTTTAAACAGTCATCGATTTCTAACCACGTGCTGTTCTTGTTATTCGAAATATTGAAATTGACCAATTATATTATTTTGTAATTAAATAACCGAACACGTGCTCGTTATTTTTAATTATATATATATATATATATTTATGTATATTTACGGCACATTTAACTGCACGGCATTTAAAAAATGTTATCTTACTATAGATTAAAAAAGACTTTTCGTTTTTATATTTGATTATTTTTTTTTAAGTTATATAAATAAGCTTAATAAATTAAAATTATGGTATCCAATAACTATGCATTTTGATTAAAGTAATTTGGCCTTAAATATTTTAAAGAAAATCGAATTTTTTAAAGGTTTTTCTGGTAAACAATCTATCATTTAACCGAAAGAAATATATAGACGTTTGTCTAGAATTGTAAACATAAAGATGACTACCGGCATAAGATTACTTTTACTTCATATAAACATGTTAGTTTTATATTATTAAATGATAAAATCGTATTTTAATGTTAACTGAAAGCTTGGAGAAGCTGCCGAAAATATATATATATATATAGAGCCTCAAATTATCTTTATTATTGATAAAATTTATTAATTATATAGTTATATTATATTATAGTTTATATATATGTTTATATATAAAAAACAATAATAACAGAATTTTTAAAGGAAGAAACAGTTGTGATTTGTTTATAAAATAGTCTCTGTCTGTAATATATTCTTTTGGAAAAATACAAGACGTCGATACCATTATCAGCTCGAAACATTCCCTTCGTTTCAAATAACCTTCGACAGCGGATCCGTGGTGTAGAAAAGGAAGCTCACGTGCGAAAAAAAAATCGCCCACGTGACCAAAGAACTCATTCATTTCATTGGAGCATAAGTCCCGTAAGAACAGAGGTCGTTTTCCTTTCTTTAAAGGTTGATAGATGCCTTACAAAAATTATTTATGCTCTTCTTTCTCTTCTCGAAATAAATAGGTGGTCCAGTATACTAAATTGAAAAGTGCGAACATAATCGGGAAGAAGAGACGGGAAATGACGTCAATTCTTTTGGATCTAGAAGGGAATTTAGCAAACCAAGCTTTACAGTAATTTGTATAGGGAGAATGGATGTGGACTTCACACTTTCTTCTCTTCTCGCTGTTTTCCGAGTTGTGATTTCTAAATAACGGTTTCTGGAAGGATAAAAAGGGTGTAAATAACTCAATGCCACTCGAAAAAAGTTTAATCACGTCTACTTTCGCTGACACTTTCACCACCTGCAGCTACCATCAATAACACCGAATTCGGCACTCACAGCCGCACTCCTTTGTTACTTTTTCCACTTTAAAACTACACCATCCCAAATTATTTTTTAAAACTTTAATTAAAAACATAATGGCGATTAACGGCTCCAGGTGGTGAAGGTGTTCAACGCGACATACGTTTTCCTATACCATTGCAAAGTTAGCTCCATCTTCTAAATGATCCACCTCCTGCGATCGTCGCTGCTGCCTGTGCACGTCACTCCTTGAAGCGTAATTAACTAAAGCGAACTCCAACAGGGCACCAAAAACGAAGGTCAGGCACACACCCGTCCATATATCAATAGCTTTAGTGTAAGAGACAGGAGGTAGAGCCGAATTAATGCCAGATATCTGAGTAGCCATAGTCAGCAGGGTGGTAACACCTAGAGAAACTCTAGCTGGTATGGCATTCTGGTCCAACCAGAAGGAAACCCACGACACAATAACCAGCATACAACAGGGAATGTATATCTGTATGAGGTAGTAGCTGAACTCTCTTTTGAACAGTAGGTCCACTTTCAGGCAACTGTATTCACCTGAAATACACGCGAGCCATTTGAGACGAGACTGCTTTCTTCTACTGTAAGGTGCTAGTTCGTACACCCCTTTACCTTACCTTTATTCTCTTACCTGTATTAGTCCTACTGGAACAGTAATCAGTTTCGTATCTTTCTAGTGTGAAGCGTGGCAGGTGAAGGTTTTTAGTTAGTTGTATGGGGTCACCCTCCTTCCAAATGAAGATCAATTCTTCTTTCGTGTAGCCATCTAAATTTTTATATTGAAAACAAATAAAAAATATACAGTTTAATCTTCTAGAAAATACTTTATACGGATCGATCTTTACGTGACTTATTTTTCTAAGAACTATTTCTTTTTTTAATGTTTATAGATTCTCTCCCCCCGATTTACAAGAAATAATATTTTCGACTGGTGGATCAGCATAAATCTTTAAGGAAAGAAGATTTGAATTTATATATGTTAATTCTCCTATAAATTCTGGTAAGTTGAACAATTTCTATATATATATATATATATTTTTGGAAATTTATTCCAGTACAAGTTATAAAAGTGTGTTTTACATATCGCTCTATAAATTACTCTTGTTTGCACGTTTCTTTAGCAATTACATCTTTCAAAATACAGCAAACTAACTGCTATTAATTAATTACTGTAGTTAAATTACTAGTTAACCGAATTTTGGTACAAACGGGTTGGCCCAAAAGTCTGTTTTCTGCCGGGCAATCTCTTTCCAGCTTTTTAACTAGTAAAGTATTTAATTAACAATGTTTTTTTAGTATTTATTGCTGTTAACTGACTTTCGGGCCACCCCCTAAATTAGGTGTAGAAATTTATTTTTTATTCGAATTGTTCTTATTTATATACAGAAATTTATTTCAATGTATTTTTTCTTTTTTTTTCGTACCTTTTAAATATTTATTCTGCATTTTCTTTTTTCCTTTATAAGTTTTGCATTTTATTTTGACAGTTTAAAATGTGTTTATCTTTTCAATAACTTGCTTATTTAAATATATATTTTCTGGATTAAATGCGCATTTATTATATACGGTCGAACCTCCAATAACTTCCACCTGTAAATGGCGGCCGTCCGGGAATGTTTCTTTTTGAAATGCATACGAAATAACCTTCGAATACGGCCATTTCTTATGTTCTTTATTCAGAGGTTCGATTATAGGCTTATATATATTGATATATAAGTTATATGTATTCGGGCTTAGGCAGAGATGGGATCAAGTGATCGTTGTTTAGAGGTTCTACTGTAAATTAGGACGTAGGCTAAGAGAAGATCTATTGATTAGAGGTTTAACTGTATATTAAAGCCTAGGTAGAGAGAGAGAGTCAAAAGGTCGCTGTTCAGAGGTTCAACTGTGTATATATATATTCTATATAACTAGTTATGTAATTATGATGTATAACTCTGCATAATTAACTACATAATTACAGTTTACAAGTATATAACTAGTTACAGTTCCAGTATTAATTGATAATTCAATATTAAAGCTCATAATAAGTCCTTATATTTTATTATAATAAAAAAAGAAACAATAATTTAGCCTCTGAATTACTTAAGAATAATTCTAGAAGAGAAATTATTATATTTATTGACTTAGACTACTTACAACTGACCATAGTTATAGTACATATCTGCTTATCTAGAGGATAATATTTGAGATCCATTGGGCAAGAAAGCACCAAAGATATCCTAAATTAATAAAGAAAATTCTATTTTAAGTTACGGATCCTTGACGTTACACTAAGAATCACCTACACACCTGATACTGTAAAGAACGTCTCCTTTGGGGTAGATCCTTAGCAAAACATTTGGCATAATGATTTCGTGGAAGTGTCCTTCCTTTTCATTAGCGAAAAATAAGTCGGGTTTCCAAATTTTATCCGGATCCGTCAACGTCAGATAACGTATTTGGCCGTTATAATCATTGAAATGCATCCTCTCGTCGGCCCATTGCTCCCTTAATGTAAGCTGCACTGTGTACTCCTGTAATGAGATCAGATACGTCACACAAGCACTTATCATACATCAGAGACTAATATATTTATATAAAATGGTAAAATTTATGACTTGAAACGTGTTTATTTCATTAAAAATCCCTTTAAAGGTTCTTACTTATTACTTTCAATAAAGGTAGGGCCATTTTTCCTCTCTGTTTTTTTCCTTTCTGCCCTATCTAAACGGGCAGAAAATATAATAAAGTAGGTATTAATTAAAGTAAACCGTACATTATTATAATCAATTATAACCTTTTTTATTAAGGACTTTATGGGGGTGATGTTGGTAATTACTTCCACTAAGTGTACACGAGTTTTCTCATCCTGTAAATCAGCGGTTCCTATGATTCACTTCAGTTGCTTTAACAGAGGGAAAGTATGGCGATCGTCAAAAATGAACCCCAAGATTTTGGACTCGGGACTTCAAGAAATGTAAGAAGTGGGTGGGGGTTCTGTATGTATGTGTATGTTGGGGGCACGATTTTGTTGGCCCAATTTGAAGCTTAATGACTCCCGTACCATTTGTCGAAAATTTCTGAAATTTTGCTGGGAGGTTTGTGTATTAGGGAGTTTAATGCTGTTAAATTTTGGCGGTTAAAGGTCGAAGGAATGGGGAGATAGAGGGAGATCACGTGTCGTATCACGAGTGGATCAGAATTAATTCATTAACATTTACAATTTTTTAATAAAACTCATTGCATTCCCAAAATTAAGCATTTTGCTATTTTCCCTCCTCCTCTTACTCCCGTTTTTCTGTCTTTTAGGTGCAGAAAAATGGGAGGTTTTTATAGGAAAAAATGTTAGAAATTTATCAAAATTAAAAGAATTCTGCCTAGGAAAATTATAGATCTATGAAGACGAAAAAGTTGAAGAGAAACAATTTTGGCAAAGGGTCAACTTTCTCCAATATCCAGTTATCATTTTAAATAGAAAAAAAAAGGAAGAGAGAGAGATTCACTTTCATATTTCATATAAAATCTGCATATTTTTCTTCAGTTTTGTAATAAATTTCTACGTGTATACTTAGAATAAGATCTTTTATTTTTAAATAAAATATAAAATATACGTTTTTTCCTTAAACACAAGTTAAAAAATAATCATATAGGTTATACACAGAGGGATCCAAAAGTCGGTTAATCATGTNATATACAGAAATTTATTTCAATGTATTTTTTCTTTTTTTTTCGTACCTTTTAAATATTTATTCTGCATTTTCTTTTTTCCTTTATAAGTTTTGCATTTTATTTTGACAGTTTAAAATGTGTTTATCTTTTCAATAACTTGCTTATTTAAATATATATTTTCTGGATTAAATGCGCATTTATTATATACGGTCGAACCTCCAATAACTTCCACCTGTAAATGGCGGCCGTCCGGGAATGTTTCTTTTTGAAATGCATACGAAATAACCTTCGAATACGGCCATTTCTTATGTTCTTTATTCAGAGGTTCGATTATAGGCTTATATATATTGATATATAAGTTATATGTATTCGGGCTTAGGCAGAGATGGGATCAAGTGATCGTTGTTTAGAGGTTCTACTGTAAATTAGGACGTAGGCTAAGAGAAGATCTATTGATTAGAGGTTTAACTGTATATTAAAGCCTAGGTAGAGAGAGAGAGTCAAAAGGTCGCTGTTCAGAGGTTCAACTGTGTATATATATATTCTATATAACTAGTTATGTAATTATGATGTATAACTCTGCATAATTAACTACATAATTACAGTTTACAAGTATATAACTAGTTACAGTTCCAGTATTAATTGATAATTCAATATTAAAGCTCATAATAAGTCCTTATATTTTATTATAATAAAAAAAGAAACAATAATTTAGCCTCTGAATTACTTAAGAATAATTCTAGAAGAGAAATTATTATATTTATTGACTTAGACTACTTACAACTGACCATAGTTATAGTACATATCTGCTTATCTAGAGGATAATATTTGAGATCCATTGGGCAAGAAAGCACCAAAGATATCCTAAATTAATAAAGAAAATTCTATTTTAAGTTACGGATCCTTGACGTTACACTAAGAATCACCTACACACCTGATACTGTAAAGAACGTCTCCTTTGGGGTAGATCCTTAGCAAAACATTTGGCATAATGATTTCGTGGAAGTGTCCTTCCTTTTCATTAGCGAAAAATAAGTCGGGTTTCCAAATTTTATCCGGATCCGTCAACGTCAGATAACGTATTTGGCCGTTATAATCATTGAAATGCATCCTCTCGTCGGCCCATTGCTCCCTTAATGTAAGCTGCACTGTGTACTCCTGTAATGAGATCAGATACGTCACACAAGCACTTATCATACATCAGAGACTAATATATTTATATAAAATGGTAAAATTTATGACTTGAAACGTGTTTATTTCATTAAAAATCCCTTTAAAGGTTCTTACTTATTACTTTCAATAAAGGTAGGGCCATTTTTCCTCTCTGTTTTTTTCCTTTCTGCCCTATCTAAACGGGCAGAAAATATAATAAAGTAGGTATTAATTAAAGTAAACCGTACATTATTATAATCAATTATAACCTTTTTTATTAAGGACTTTATGGGGGTGATGTTGGTAATTACTTCCACTAAGTGTACACGAGTTTTCTCATCCTGTAAATCAGCGGTTCCTATGATTCACTTCAGTTGCTTTAACAGAGGGAAAGTATGGCGATCGTCAAAAATGAACCCCAAGATTTTGGACTCGGGACTTCAAGAAATGTAAGAAGTGGGTGGGGGTTCTGTATGTATGTGTATGTTGGGGGCACGATTTTGTTGGCCCAATTTGAAGCTTAATGACTCCCGTACCATTTGTCGAAAATTTCTGAAATTTTGCTGGGAGGTTTGTGTATTAGGGAGTTTAATGCTGTTAAATTTTGGCGGTTAAAGGTCGAAGGAATGGGGAGATAGAGGGAGATCACGTGTCGTATCACGAGTGGATCAGAATTAATTCATTAACATTTACAATTTTTTAATAAAACTCATTGCATTCCCAAAATTAAGCATTTTGCTATTTTCCCTCCTCCTCTTACTCCCGTTTTTCTGTCTTTTAGGTGCAGAAAAATGGGAGGTTTTTATAGGAAAAAATGTTAGAAATTTATCAAAATTAAAAGAATTCTGCCTAGGAAAATTATAGATCTATGAAGACGAAAAAGTTGAAGAGAAACAATTTTGGCAAAGGGTCAACTTTCTCCAATATCCAGTTATCATTTTAAATAGAAAAAAAAAGGAAGAGAGAGAGATTCACTTTCATATTTCATATAAAATCTGCATATTTTTCTTCAGTTTTGTAATAAATTTCTACGTGTATACTTAGAATAAGATCTTTTATTTTTAAATAAAATAATAAAGAGATTTATGAAGAATATTTGTTTACGAAACTCGATGAGATCTCTCATAAAAGAAGCTCTCGAAAATGAGAATAAATTGATTTTACGCTTTAATGACGTCTCAAAAAGAAAAAAGATAAATAAATTCTGCAGAAAAATCTTTAATGCCATCCTTTTAAAAATTTAAGAATTGTAGAAAAACAATACGAGAGAACAGAATAGAATTTAATTCATCTTCATTTATCTTCAGGAAAAATATGAAATTTAATTTAGTGTAATTTGTTGTAGAAGATTGTAACGAATTGTAGAAATCTTCTAGAAAAAGATTGTCTTCCAGCTTCTTCGATCTTCGTTCTTCAGTCTTGTATTAATTCGTAATTTGTGCTAGAAGATTACTGCAGTTCGTTATAACGAATTGAAACGATTACGAATCAATTAATACAAGATTGAAGATCGAAAAAGAATTGCGATAGACATTCGTTATAACGTAACCTACTGAAACATTCGAACAATTTCCGAACCCAAATCATTAACTAATACAATAATTTATGCTAGATGATGATGATGATGATGATGTGAAGATATTATCACTGTAACTAACCATAATTAATCTTCGATGATAAATTACCGAATTAAATTATGTATTAATGTACAAACAAGTTAAAAATAACAGAATTAAACAACCAGAAAACTGTAAATTTAGAATGTGGCACAAATTAATAAAGAAATCCTAATAGACGACCAAGAAATTATAAAAAAACTACGAAATTCAAGTACTTGGCTCGTTTATCTCATCGAATGGCGAAATAACACCACACATACGTGCACGAATCAATGCTTCCAGGATGAAATGGAGAGAGGCAACCCCCTCCCTTCCTTCCAGTGTGGACGTCATTTATGGACAGTCCCTGAGATTTTTCTCTCAACATTTTAGAGATACAGGTATCATCACTATTATAAAAGCACGTATAAAAGATGTATGAAAAGTTTGCAGAAATGCGAATGAGATCATTGTGAAAACACCACAGAAACACGCGTGAGTATCCTGTTAAAAAACTACAGAAACACGCGTGAGTATCCTGTTAAAAAACTACAGAAACACGCGTGAGTATCCTGTTAAAAAACTACAGAAACACGCGTGAGTATCCTGTTAAAAAACTACAGAAACACGCATAAGACGTATAAAAAACTGATCAAACAATTAAACAACGCAATTTCCAGAACGAGAAGAATAAATTTGACATTCTGAAGTGGTCACGAATAGATAAATACTCACCGAAAAGTACAATTGAAATAAAAGAAAAGCGTGTTACACACGAAGAGATGATGGAAAGAGTAATATACGCACTCAAAGTATGTAAGAAAATATATTGTCGATTGAAAACACGGAATGACACTATCGATTTTTCATTATTTCGATATAACGTTTTCGTCTGTCATCATAACCGAAATTTATATAATGCATTTTGTCGAAACTGTCTTATTTCACCTTTCTTCTTTTAAGGATGTACTCTCTCTCTCTCTCTCTCCTCTTCGTGACATTGAACTATTTTTTTTAGTTTTGTTTCTTCGCCTTCATCTTGCCAAGTGTCTAATAAAACTTTTCGTTTTTTTATATTCCCTACTGTGAGTTTTTTTTACATGTTTTCTATCGAATTGGGACCGTTCCAGGTCATTTTTGCACTTCGGGAACTTCTAAATCGCGTGGAGTTAAATGGGGTGGAGTATGAGATTTGTTTGATTGATAAATTAATATTGCTGGCGTGTGGAACGGAACAAATCACTTTGTTTCTTTTCTATTCTTTTTTTTCTTGTGGGAAAATGGAGATAAGTATGAGAATTTAGCTTTAAACAACTGTGTATGTTCAAGAAACACAGTGTGTGTGTGTGTATTGGAGTATATTTCGTTTAATACCTCGGGATGGAGTGAAGATTAAGTAACGAAATTTGGCACGGCAGCTTGTATATAGGGAGCATTAATGCTATTAAATTTTGGTGGTGAA